TAACAAATTAACAAACAAACAAACACACACACACACGGATAGACTGACAGACAAACAGACAGACAGACAGACAGACAGTCAAACAGACAGACGACAAACGACAACAATAATCAATCCAAGATTGTTCGCTCCTACCGGCCCGCGTGTCATTCACTATGCATATCGCAGACCCTGGATACCCGCCCTCTTCGTCTTCGATCGTACCCCGTGTTTGGGGATTACATTCCTTCCTGGCCACGTGTAATTGGAGAAGCCCCTAAACAGGGAAACGAAAGAGAGAAAACAAAAAGAGAGGACGAAGGGACCGGAGGAAGGGAGGGATTAGAGGGCCCAAAGGGAGGGGCGACGATGACTTGCGCCGCGAATTGCGATTCAGCTTGCGCCACGGCTTGCGCCAGCCATTCCAACACAGGTTAACAAAGGTTTCGCCATGGGTCGCGCCATAAACAGCGCCTTGTGACACCTCTGGTGCTGCTCGGCGAGGTGTTGGAGGCGAGTGCGGTGCCCGATGTCTGTATAAACTGGGAAAAAGTCAAAGGCGAGAACACACGTCCTGAAAAAAGGATGCCTGGCGGGAGCGGGGGTTTAAAATCAAGCGCAACGAAATCTTAAGCGGGAACGCCGTTTTTGAGTAAATTGTAAGGAAACCGCAAACGGGAGGGGGGGCCTGACTAAATTGTGAGGAAGTCACAGGCGGGGGCGCCGATCCTGAGTAAATTGGGAGGAACTCTCAGGCGGGAGCGGGGATCTTGAGTAAAGTTGGAAGAGGTATCGCGCGGGAGCCGTTGTTGTTGCAGCCCGGGGGGCCAAGGGCACCAGGAAGGCATCCCCGTTCAAAAAACAGGGCGCGTGCGTCGAGGGGCATTCTTTGATTGAGAACACAATATGCACCGGTGAGGGGGGTCAACAATAATGATTTTTCAGAAGTGAGATTTCAACAACAACAATAATGTCCATCATGCGCCATGGTTCCACATGTCACATGCATCTTTCTGGATACCACGCCCCATACTGGGGGATTTGTCTGGCATGTGGATCCCGATATTCCCTCGCCTAGATCTCCCGCCAAAGAAAGTGTTGCCACCACGTCTTCCGAGGAACTCCGACATCCACAGCTCGGACGACACATCGCCATCGCAATCGCCTTGCGCGCGCCCCGCATCCCGGAGGGGGGGGAAGAGGGCGAAGAGGGGAGGGAAGATGAGGGAGAGGAAGAGGGAGAGGAGGAGGATGGAGGAGGAGGAATACGAGGGGGAGAAAGGAGGAGCAGTAGTAGTAGCGGTACCTCCGAGGACGCGGTGGTTCTTACTCCTCGTTCGAACTGTTGCGCCACCATCCTGCGGCCTCTGCGCGTGACCCTGAATGTTTGCGCCCCCGGGCGCTGCCGCCCCCATGCTCGCATCCCCCACCTGCCCCTCCACGCCCCCTCAAGGAACCCCTGAAGTCAATCATTCGACCCTCGATCCGCGGAGCCCCTGGAAGTCATCCGTCCTCCTTCTTCTCCTCCTCTACAGTATCTATACTATCCAAAAACGGTGGTTATTTAATTATTGAGGTTCAACAAGGACTTTTGGAAGTTCCCCAGAGGCGACGCCGACGCGAGGGACCCAGTCTTGAGTGAAAGGTGAGGAAGTGTCAAACGGGAGCGACGAGAGAGGACGGAAGTGGAAGGGGGGAGGGAGGAGGGGGGAGGCGGGGCTGGAGGAGGGAGGAGACAAGGGGGGCGACGAGGGGGACGCTAAGGGAAAGGAGGAGGGAAGAGGGACGGGAGAGGGAGGAAGGGGGAGGGAGACGTGGGGGGGGCGGAGGGAGGAACAGGGAGGAAAAGAAAGGGGGAAGGAGGGGCGAGGAGGAGGAGGAAGAAGAGGAGGAGGAGGAGGAGGAGAACGAAAAAAGGGGGGGAGAAGGGAGGAGATGAGGAGGAGGAGGAGGACGACGATGAGGAGGAGGAGGAGAGGAGAAGGAGGAGGAGGAGGAGGAGGAGGAGGGGGAGGAAGGAGGGACGAACAGGAGGGGCGGGGGAGGGAGGAGGAGGAGGAGGAGGAGGAGGAGGAGGAGGAGGAGGAGGAGGAGGAGGAGGAGGAGGAGAACGAGGAGAACGAGGAGGAGGAGGACGACGGGGACGAGGATGAGGAGGAGGAGAAAAGGGCGCCACTCCAGCGTAAAACAGGGGGAATCTCGGGCGGGGGCGTTGGTTTGGTCGGGACGGGGGCTGTCGACGGCGAGCAAAAGGAAGAAAGTCTCGAGTGGGGGCGCTGTTGTTGCTGGGGGGGGGGGGGGGGCGCCGATGAGAGAAGGAGTAGCGCGCCTGTCCAAGGTAAAACGAGAGGAAGCCTCGAGCGGGGGGCGCTGGTTTTGTTGAGACGGCTGCTTTCGGCGGCGAGCAAGAGCACCAACCCTGAGTAAAAAGGGAGGACGTCTCGAACGGGAGCATTGTTGTTGTTGGGGGGCCAGTTTTGGCGGCCCCCCAAACCTCTTGAGAGTGAACCTCATTTCCGATGAAAATGTAGCTGGTGCCTCGGCGAGAGCGCCAGGGCGCATGTAAGGGGTCCCACAATAATAATTGTTGAGTAGTAAACATTCAACAACAAACAACGACAACAACAACAACAACAATATTCCGCACCGCTGAACCTCACCTCAGCCATGCGCCCAGGGACAGCGAATGACCATTCACCCCCCTCACTTTCATGTTTAGCAGGGAAGACCTGAGGAGGAGGAGGAGGAGGAGGAGGAGGAGGAGAAGAAGTGATGGCACCAGGAGCGACGGAAGCGCCAACTGATCGATTCTTTCAGTATGAAGGCCCCAGAATTATCCACCCTTGCCTCGGCCAATTTTTCATCCCAGACTTTTTCTTGCCGCCCTTGGGGCCCAACATCGTTCTTTGGACTTTGGAGTCAAGCAGTCGCGAAGCTCCGTTACCCGCCTACCGGGCCACCAAATAATGTTCTAAGAACTCGTTGCGGTCTGCACGAAATGTTGCCAGAGCATCTCTGGCTGAGACGGTTTTGTCCTTACCCATATCCACCGGTGCAGTGCTGTTTTTATGACAACCTTTTTTCTTGGTTTGAGAGCATCCTCGCGGTAGGCCTATGGAAATGCCGGACGGTCAGTCGCCGCTCAGTGGAACGCTTGCACGTAAGAGCGACCTTTCGCCAGAGTGACTTTTGGCGCGGGGTTATCGGAGCCCCTCCGACCGTTGAGCGCGATGCGATAGCGGCTGACTGCGCGCTTGGATTTGGCCACCCTGCGCCCCCTCAGTCCGCGAACCAAAGGTCACTCTTGCCTGGGGTCACTCGTGCGTGTAGCCGAATGGAGGCCGAAGCAGCCAAGGGACAGGCGCCGACGTTGCAGAGTCCTCTCGACGCCGGGGTGCCCGCGAGCGGCCGGCGAGCGGGCGCCGGCCTGCCGCTCCGCCGCGGCCCCGCGCCCTTCCCTTCGCGGCGCCTCCTCCTCGGCTGGCGTGCCCGTCGCGGAATGTTGGCGGCCGCGAATTGGGCTGAGATGTTGACGATGATGATGATGGTGATGATGATGATGATGATGATGATGAGGATGGTGATGGTAATGATGACGACGACGACGACGACGACGACGACGATGATGATGATGATGATGATGATGTTGGTGATGCTGAAGGTGATGCTGACGATGTTTGTGATGATGATGGTGGTGATGATGGTGATGGTAATGATGATGATGACGATGACGATGATGATGGGGATGATGATGATGATGATGGTGATGATGATGGTGATGATGACCATGACTGTGATTTTGATGATGACGATGATGATGATGCTGGTGTTGGTGATGGTGAGGATGATGATGGTGGTGGTGATGAAGATGATGATGGTCATGATGATGATGTTGGTGATGGTGATGGTGATGGTGATGGTCGTGATGTTGATGATGAGTATTATGCTGATGATGATGATGGTGATGGTGATGATGAGGTTGATCATGATGATGATGCTTATGATGACGATGATGATGTTGGTGTTGGTGATGGTGAGGATGATGATGGTGATGACGATGATGATGGTAATCATGATGATGGTGATGATGATGATGACGTTGGTGATGGTGAGGATGATGGTGATGGTGATGGTGATGGTGATGGTGATGGTGATGATGCTGGTGTTGATGATGATGGCGAAGCTGATGATGATGATCATGCTGATCATGATCATGATGATAAGGAGGAGGAGGGTTTTGAAGATGATGGGGATGAACATGATGATGATGATGATGATGGGGACCATGATGACAATGCTGATTATGCTAATGTTGATGTTGATGATGGTGATGACGACGGTGACGGTGATGGTGATGGTAATGATGATGATGATGATGATGCTGATGATGATGATGATGATGATGGTGATGGTAATGATGATGATGATGACGATGATGATGATGATGGTGTTGGTGTTGGTGATGGTGATGATGGTGATTGTGATGATGATGATGAGGATGATCATGATGATGAAGCTTATGATGACGATGGTGATGTTGGTGATGGTGAATGTGAGGATGAGGATGGTGATGGTGATGATGTTGGTGTTGATGATAATGATGATGGCGAACACGATGATGATGATGATGATGATGATCATCATCATCATGATGATGGGGAGGAGGAATATTTTGAGGATGATGAGGATGAGCATGACGAGAATGACAATGCTGATTATGATAATGCTGATGATGGTGATGATGATGGTGATGGTGATGGTTATGGTGATGGTGATGATGATGATGATGATGATGATGATGATGATGATGATGATGGTGATGGTTATGGTGATGGTGATGATGATGATGATGATGGTGATGATGATGGGTTGTGCTGCTGTGCTTGTGCGCGCAACCATCGTTATCATCGACTGATTGCATCAGTCATTTGTTCCCCCCCGCAGTGCTCTGCGGGCACTTGGTCCAGTCAGGCACCCTGCCGTCGGCTGCCGTCGCGGGCGTCGTCGCCGCTGCCGCCCAGGCCCCCGAGCAGCCCGAGACCTCGGAAGCCTCCAGGCGGGCGGCTTGGTCTTCCCCGTCTCGGGGGCCCCGCCCGGCGGCCGTCGCGGGCGGGGCGGGGCGGCTCCCTCGTCGGCACGAACGACATTTGGTGCGGAAGCAATGCAGGGGCACAAAGACCGACAGTAGTTCAGGCTTATTTTGAGCAGGGCCCGCTGTCGGTGTCGCCGCGGACGATGTCCATGTTCGGCGGCGGGCGGGGGGGGGAAGCGAGAAGGAGAAGGTCTTCTCAGAAGGCGGCGGGACGTCTCAGAAGCCCTCCGGCCTTCTGAGAGGTCTCTTCTGTCTTCGGGGAAGGCTTCGAAACTTCTCAGAAGGCTCGGGGACTTTCGAGCCTTCTGAGAGGGCCTTCTCCTTTTCACTTCCCCCCCCCCTGCTCGCCGCCAACATGTGAGGCAGAAGGCCGCCTGCCCAGCAGCGGCCGCGGTCGGTTTTGGGGCATCAGTTCTTGGGCGTATCGTGCCCTACGCGTTCCGCACCCCTTTTCGGGCGTGCAAGGCGGAGCGGGGGCCTCTCGTGGAAGGAGGACGCTCACGGGCGGCGCAGATGTGTCCAAATCCACGCCCTTTGCGCAGGGCGCGATCCCGCGGGTATGCCACTACGTATGCCCATCGGTCGTTGAAAGTGTGTATTTTTGGATCCCCAGGTTCCAATCTACTCTAAGCGCCTTTCTACTTCAATGATCGAGTGGCTTCACCTTTTTCCGTCCTCCTTAGGGGGCGGACGGAGCCCAATCTTTTTTCAACGCCTTCCTACCTCATGGTTATACCTACTTCTTCCGACCGAGGGGTACGTATGTTGTACGTTCCGCGGGGCGCATCCGCGAGCAGAGAGCTCCCCGTATCCACGGGGTCGCGGCCAGAGGGCCCAGCCTGCGAGGCCGTGGACACGGATACGCGTCCCGCCCACAAGACGCCAACCCCGTCACGGGTCGGACGTGGAGCGGAGGGGTGGAGGATGAGGATCGAGAGAGGGGGCGCGGTCAAGCTAGGTGCGCTCGCGCCGCATTTGAGACCCCAGCCCTCCCTCCCAGCCCTTCCCCTTGCGCGGATGTGTTCTATCCGCGGACGCGTGACATAGCCGACCGGGAACCCCCCTCACCTCAGCTGAGCACACTGATAGCACCACAGGTTACCAGTGGGACCTCTGGGGTGTACGACACCTGCTGCGGTGCAGCCGGTTTGGGCCCCGCTGCAGGACCCGGCACCTCCCCTCGGTACTTCTGCCCGCGCCGGGCGGCAGGGGGCGCCCGGAAGACCAGCTGCGTGCAGTCGATGCGCTCCCAGCGGGTGCCGTTCCCGACGCCGCCTGCCTCCCGGCGTGCAGTCAGGTTGGCCGCTGGCGAGGGTTCCAGTACGACCAGGCGGTGGTTGCACCGTTGGGGTAAGTCGGGCATCCCCTTCTAGTTAAACATAGTCTGGTCACGATGTTTCTTCAATGGTTTGATGAATCATTTTTCACCTGCTTCTTCTTCCAACAACTGTCTTGTTTCTCCCAACGAATGTTTGCATATGTTTCATTTTCCTTCCAAAGCCAGCCTGGGGGGGGGCATGCCCGACCTCATCATTGGGATCGCCCAGGCGGGTTTTCCAGTGCCCCCGAGCTGCCTTTCCGGAACCGCTTGGAGAGAGAGATGCCTGGGGGGCAGCGCCCTCTCTTCCGCCGCCTGAGCCCGTGGTGATTTGTCAGGCACAGCGGGAGGCTCGGGCGCCGCACTCTCTCCTGGCAGCTGCCCGCCAGCGCAGAGGCGAGGCGGCTCTCTGAGGACCTCCCGATGGGCAGAATTCAGTCTGGCATGTCCCTCTACAGGAGGAATATTCAACAATGGTCCAAAGATAGTCTGAGCGCGATTTTTTTTCCCAACCATCCTGTGGTGTTGGGTCCTCGTTTTGAAGAGACAGCGCCCCGCGTCCCACCTCCTCTCCTCCTCCTCCTCTCCTCGCCCTCCTCCCTTCTCCCCCTCCTTGCCTCTGCTCTCGGCACACCCCTCACACGTTTCGTAGCCCCATAGGGAGCTCCACCGAAGGCCCCAGTGCTGCCGTCCGCATGCGTCCCGCACACCCATTTCGGCACACCCCTCACACGTTTCGTGGCCCCACAGGGAGCTCCACCGAAGGGAGCTCCACCGAAGGCCCCATGGCTGCCGTCCGCATGCGTCCCGCACACCCATTTCGGCACACCCCTCACACGTTTCGTGGCCCCACAGGGAGCTCCACCGAAGGCCCCAGTGCTGCCGTCCGCATGCGTCCCGCACACCCATTTCGGCACACCCCTCACACGTTTCGTGGCCCCATAGGGAGCTCCACCGAAGGCCCCATGGCTGCCGTCCGCATGCGTCCCGCACACCCATTTCGGCACACCCCTCACACGTTTCGTGGCCCCACAGGGAGCTCCACCGAAGGCCCCAGTGCTGCCGTCCGCATGCGTCCCGCACACCAGGTGTGTGGCGTGCCGACATGGGCGTCGCGGCGCGCGGGCGCTGCCGTCGGGGTTCCCAGGGAAGCCCCCTGCAGAGGCGACGCTCAGAGTCACGAGTACCGAGAGTCACGCAGACCCAAACTGTTCACAGTCGTATACATACATTTACACTGGGCGTATCCATGCACGCATTCATGCGAATAGAATCAATCGCGCGCAGATTCATTCATAATCAGACTCGCTCGCGATCCGACTCGCACGCGCTCAAGCTTTCATATTCGGACCTATCGTCTTCGTTCGTGTTGTGTACACTGCCACGCATTTCGGCACACCCCTCATACGGCTCGTGGCCCCATAGGGAGCGCCACCGAAGAAGATATTCACAATTGCGGTACTCTCAACTGCATATGGTTGGGTCCTTCGCCAGGCTAATTACTATTTTTGATTAGGTGTTCGAGTAGTTTTTTTGCGTATGCTTCTCACGTTCGGCCCAAGATGTGCCTGTAGGAGGACATGCCAGACCTAACGGTAGAAGAGTCGCGCATCTTCAGCGGAGACCCATGCCAAGAAACACCCTGCTTGCCTGCAGGGTGCCGTTGGTCTCTTGGGTTTTGCTGGTCTTGCCATGGAGAGCGCTACGTTCCCACACCGAAGATCAATGGACGTCCTGGGATCTCAGGGTTGGGTTTCTTGTGGAAGGCTTCTTGTGGTCGAGCTCCTGCTGCATCGTTCGGCCACGAGCCAACTTACAAAGCACAGCTGTTCCTACATGACTTGATCCTTCTGTCTGCAAGAAGAGCCGCAGACGCCGCTCGCGCCGGCGAGCCCACGGAGGACGCCGACGCTTCAGCTCGGGGTCCTCTGCCCCGGGCCTGTCCCAGGCCCCTGGGACCTTTCAGAAATGGCACCATATTGGGCGTTCAACAAAGAGCCTTGCGTTCGAGGATCGAAGGAGTTGCTATCTCTTCCGCGGCGACAGGCCGCGGAAGGTCGGCGGAGGTAAAACAAGGCCACCTCCGCCGGCGGAAGCTCGGCCGAAGGCTGCGGAAGCGAAAGATGTGCCCCCAAGAGATGAATACGTTTTTGGGTTCAGGGTTTCCGAAATCGCCCATATGTTTTGTTCCCAACCATCCTGTGGTGTTGGGTCCTCGTTTTGAAGAGACAGCGCCCCGCGTCCCACCTCCTCCTCCTCCTCTCTCCTCCCCCTCCTCCCTCCATCATCATCATCATCATCATCATCATCATCATCATCATCATCATCATCATCATCATCATCATCATCATCATCATCATCATCATCATCATCATCATCATCATCATCATCATCATCATCATCATCATCATCATCATCATCATCATCATCATCATCATCATCATCATCATCATCGTCATTGTCATCGTCGTCATCGTCATCGTCATCACCCACTTCGGCACACCCCTCACACGTTTCGTGGCCCCATAGGGAGCTCCACCGAAGGCCCGAGGGCTGCCGCCCGCATGCGTCCCCTACACCCATTTCGGCACACCCCTCACACGTTTCGTGGCCCCATAGGGAGCTCCACCGAAGGCCCCATGGCTGCCGTCCGCATGCGTCCCGCACACCCATTTCGGCACACCCCTCACACGTTTCGTGGCCCCACAGGGAGCTCCACCGAAGGCCCCAGTGCTGCCGTCCGCATGCGTCCCGCACACCCATTTCGGCACACCCCTCACACGTTTCGTGGCCCCATAGGGAGCTCCACCGAAGGCCCCATGGCTGCCGTCCGCATGCGTCCCGCACACCCATTTCGGCACACCCCTCACACGTTTCGTGGCCCCACAGGGAGCTCCACCGAAGGCCCCAGTGCTGCCGTCCGCATGCGTCCCGCACACCCATTTCGGCACACCCCTCACACGTTTCGTGGCCCCATAGGGAGCTCCACCGAAGGCCCCATGGCTGCCGTCCGCATGCGTCCCGCACACCCATTTCGGCACACCCCTCACACGTTTCGTGGCCCCACAGGGAGCTCCACCGAAGGCCCCAGTGCTGCCGTCCGCATGCGTCCCGCACACCCATTTCGGCACACCCCTCACACGTTTCGTGGCCCCATAGGGAGCTCCACCGAAGGCCCCATGGCTGCCGTCCGCATGCGTCCCGCACACCCATTTCGGCACACCCCTCACACGTTTCGTGGCCCCACAGGGAGCACACCCCTCACACAAGGGAGCTCCACCGAAGGCCCCAGTGCTGCCGTCCGCATGCGTCCCGCACACCCATTTCGGCACACCCCTCACACGTTTCGTGGCCCCACAGGGAGCTCCACCGAAGGCCCCAGTGCTGCCGTCCGCATGCGTCCCGCACACCCATTTCGGCACACCCCTCACACGTTTCGTGGCCCCATAGGGAGCTCCACCGAAGGCCCCATGGCTGCCGTCCGCATGCGTCCCGCACACCCATTTCGGCACACCCCTCACACGTTTCGTGGCCCCACAGGGAGCTCCACCGAAGGCCCCAGTGGCTGCCGTCCGCATGCGTCCCGCACACCCATTTCGGCACACCCCTCACACGTTTCGTGGCCCCATAGGGAGCTCCACCGAAGGCCCCATGGCTGCCGTCCGCATGCGTCCCGCACACCCATTTCGGCACACCCCTCACACGTTTCGTGGCCCCACAGGGAGCTCCACCGAAGGCCCCAGTGCTGCCGTCCGCATGCGTCCCGCACACCCATTTCGGCACACCCCTCACACGTTTCGTGGCCCCATAGGGAGCTCCACCGAAGGCCCCATGGCTGCCGTCCGCATGCGTCCCGCACACCCATTTCGGCACACCCCTCACACGTTTCGTGGCCCCATAGGGAGCTCCACCGAAGGCCCCAGTGCTGCCGTCCGCATGCGTCCCGCACACCCATTTCGGCACACCCCTCACACGTTTCGTGGCCCCATAGGGAGCTCCACCGAAGGCCCCATGGCTGCCGTCCGCATGCGTCCCGCACACCCATTTCGGCACACCCCTCACACGTTTCGTGGCCCCACAGGGAGCTCCACCGAAGGCCCCAGTGCTGCCGTCCGCATGCGTCCCGCACACCCATTTCGGCACACCCCTCACACGTTTCGTGGCCCCATAGGGAGCTCCACCGAAGGCCCCATGGCTGCCGTCCGCATGCGTCCCGCACACCCATTTCGGCACACCCCTCACACGTTTCGTGGCCCCACAGGGAGCTCCACCGAAGGCCCCAGTGCTGCCGTCCGCATGCGTCCCGCACACCAGGTGTGTGGCGTGCCGACATGGGCGTCGCGGCGCGCGGGCGCTGCCGTCGGGGTTCCCAGGGAAGCCCCCTGCAGAGGCGACGCTCAGAGTCACGAGTACCGAGAGTCACGCAGACCCAAACTGTTCACAGTCGTATACATACATTTACACTGGGCGTATCCATGCACGCATTCATGCGAATAGAATCAATCGCGCGCAGATTCATTCATAATCAGACTCGCTCGCGATCCGACTCGCACGCGCTCAAGCTTTCATATTCGGACCTATCGTCTTCGTTCGTGTTGTGTACACTGCCACGCATTTCGGCACACCCCTCATACGGCTCGTGGCCCCATAGGGAGCGCCACCGAAGAAGATATTCACAATTGCGGTACTCTCAACTGCATATGGTTGGGTCCTTCGCCAGGCTAATTTTTTTGGACGGCATCGGGGAAGGGGTCGAGATCGCCTGGGGGGGCCGCCTGACGAAACAAATGCGAAGTTGGAGGAGAGGGGGACTACATATACGCTAACACCGATCACAGCACTGCCAGGCCCATCCCGGGCCCTCTGTCTGCGACCACTTGCGAGGTCGGCGTTGGCCCTGTCAGGATTTACCTGGCCGCAGGCGTCCTTCAGATTCTGAGCCCCCGCGAGTGTTGTCAGAAATCCAACGTGCAGGGATAAAGCTCACGCGTGTCTGTGCAGAGCCAGGGTCGGTGCATGTGGACTCTCGCGGTTTGGCCCAACATGAACGATCAAGTGTTGGCCAGCGTGGGTCCCGAACAGCGAGTTTTTGCACCCTGGATGTGCAAGCTATTCATTGCAAATTGATGTGAGTTTTTGCAGCCTGGATTTTGTTTGCACCCTGGATTTTGCACCCTGGATTTTGCACCCTGAATGTGTCTCGGCGCATGTGGTGAAATACACGTGGTGCAAGCTACGTGATGCAATCTAGGGACTGTGTTTGGCTATCGCGCGTGACGGTTGTGACCCGGGTGGGCGCGGACAACCGGTGACCCGGGTGTGTTGGGGCAGGGGCTAACAGGGAAGCAGGATTATGAGTACGAGAGTGCAGGCATACATTCGTGCAGAGATGCCCGTTACACACGCACACGCACAGAGGCAAATACACGCACACGCACACACACACACACAAACACACACACACACACACGTTCACAGGCACGCCAGAGGCCTGCGCGCACCACAGCTAACCGCACGCCGCATACATGCACAACCACACGCGCGCCCGATGCAAACACCCCTGCCGCCCACCAGCGACTTCACTTGCTGGCAAAGCTTAAGCAGCGCAGTGATTCTTGGACTCCTCGCATGTAGATGCATGGTTCGGGCGGGTGGACGAATCATGGTAACGACGACATCAATAATGGCGACGGTGAGATGATGATTATGATGCTAGTGAATGTGATGGTGATGTTGACGGTGATGGCGCTGATGACCAAGGACTACGTCAACAGCTGCCTGCACGGTGCCAGCGACGTTCTTTGTGTGGCGACCATTCGAGCATCGCCCAGAAGGGCGTCACACGTGACATTCCCCGTCTCCATATTTTGAGGAATTGTCTTGGGGTATATTCTGGCCGCTTTTGGGCTATCTTGGGCTTCTGTGGGGCCGTCTCTGGGATTATTTGGGGCCGTCGATGTTTGGATTGGGGCCTTCTTGGAGCTCTTTTCGGCAGTTTTGGGCCGTCGGAAGGGGCCTCTGGTGGCCGTCGTGGGGCTCAGTCTTGGGCTGTCTACGCAGGAGGTCTTTGGAGCTCGCTTCGCAGGGCTGACGGACACCTCTCTATGCCCAGAAGCGTGATTTCTCTTCAACCTAGCACGCACCTCTGCTGCTGCTGCTGCTGCTGCTGCTGCTGCTGCTGCTGCTGCTGCTGCTGCTGCTGCTGCCCCCCCAACCTGGGCGACAGGGGAGGCAGGGCATCGTCGTCGTCGTCGTCGTCGTCATCGTGGCCTCGGATGCCAGGAATCTGTCCACTGCCCCGTGGGGATGCCACGGATGCCTCGGATGCCCGCTCTGGCTCCTCGTGGGATCGGGGCGCGAGCAGGAGCATGGATAAAATGTCGATCGCCCAGCAAACGCTAGGGGTTAAACACACCTGCCGCCGCGCGAGAAGGTGGGCCCGCGTGAAGTCGCTGGCGCCCCCGGTCGGGCCCAAGCGGGTCGAGGCCGCCGCCGGCTCCTCTCCGCCCGCTGTCTTGCATGCTTGCGTTAAGTCGGGCTTGTCCCTCTAAAGGAGGAATATTCAAAGATAGTCAGGAGACGCGTTTTTATGGATCATAAATTCGCTTCTGCAACCGGAGAATCATCAGGTGTTGGCCCATGTTGCTCACCTCGCTTTCTCTTTGCTTACGCGCCTCTGTCCGCGTCGCGGGCGGTGGTCTCTCTGGCGGAGCAGGCGGACGTTTGCTGGGAGCGGTGGGAGTCTTCTTGTGCTGCTCCGCGCCTGGTGCTCCTCTGAGGAGCGGCGGCTTGGCTACCCCCACGTAGGAGTTGCGCGCCTGCTCGTCTGCCTTCGGAAGGGCGCCCCGCGCGCGACTGCCATGCCGAACCCCGCCAGTTGAGACCTGCGCCGCGACCCTCCTCGGGCTCTGGCGTGGCGCGCCGTGTTCCCTGGAGCCTCGGCCGATCATGCTCCCTGAAAGGAGCCGCGCCTGTGTGCTCCCGGATAGGAGCGGCGCCGCCAACTCCCCGGACAGGGAGCTCTGGCACGCCAACTCCCCTGATGGGGAGCTCTGGCGCGCAGGCCATGCTCGCTGAAAGGGGCCTTTGGCAGAGAGTGCTCCCCAACAGGAGCTGCGCCTAAATGCTCCCTGATAGGAGCGGCGTCGCCAACTCCCCGGATAGGGAGCTCTGGCACGCCAATTCCCCTGATAGGGAGCTCTGGCGCGCCATGCTCCCTGAGAGGAGCCTCTGGCAGACGGTGCTCCCTGAAAGGAGCTGCGCCGCAATGCTTCCTGATGGGAGCGGCGCTTTTCCCACCCTCGCCGTCCTTTTGCGGCAGTCGCCGGCTCCCTGTCCTGGCTGGGTGCTTCAGGGACGAAACCCAGAAGGCGCCAGCCAGGCAGCGCTTTTCACGAGCCCCTTGCTGGCGCAGGGGCGCCGACAATTCCTAACGCCATGGGCCAAGGTGCCGTTATGATTTTCCACTATGTCAGACTATCTTTGAACATTTCCTTTTTTTCGTTCGCCCACAATCCGCCTGTAGGGGGACACGCCCGACTTGTGCTTGTGGCTGCTCGCCTCGGCCACGCGTGAGAGCGACCTCTCGCCAAAGAGACTTGTCTGCGCGGGCCCAAAGAGGCGGCCCCGGCATTGGCCTCTGCCTGCTCGAGCGTGCTCCCCCCGCGGCCCCCGGAAGCCGCGCACAAAGAGTTCCTTCTGCCCAGGGTCGCGCTTGCGCGTGGGCGATCGCCTGCTGGAATCGGTCCCGTCCTCTTCACGCTGCGTCGTGTCGTCGTCGCCGTCGCTGTTCGCCATCGTCGCCGTCGTCGTCGGAACCCCGAGCCCGTTGTTCGAAGGCCCTTTACGCATGTCTCTCAAGGAGGCATCTTGGAATCAGAGCTGCACGAGGTCTTCCGACCCCCTGGGCAACGCCTTCCGGGGCGTCCTTCCCCGGGCCGCCGGCACGAGCCAAGGAGAGCGTCTTGAGCAGTTTGCGCACGAGCAGAGTGTAAGCGTCTCGTGGCGTCGCCGCGATTGTCCGTCGTCGTCGGCGCCGCTGGCGGCCGCTTTCTGCTCCGTCGCTGTCTGGACCTCGTGCAGCTGCCTGGGCGTGCGCGGGGCCAACCTGCTACGCTCGACAACATGAACCTCAAACGCTCGCGCACAAGCTACTCGTATGGTGATTGTTTTTTGATCGGCGCGGGCCCCCAAACCCGCCCTCCCCGTCCTCCCTGGAGTGGATCTTGGCTGTTTTTTGGCGCCTGTTTCGAGCAGGTGGGGCCTCCCCCATCATGGACGCCCTGTTGCAAACAGCCGCATTAAGCAGAGGTCCAGAGCCAGACCTCCCCCCTCCCCCCATCCTTCCGCCCAGTGTCGAAACGCCGACAAAGAAAACGCTCACATATCTGATGTTCTCGGACATTTTGTGCGAAGTATTTCGTGGCGCCCCCTCTGCAGGATTGGTCATCGTGGAGCTTCCGAGCCGCACCGGCCCAGACTGCGTTTCGCTCTGCTTCGATATCGAAGGGGGCGACAGTGATGGGGCGAAATGGGGCTACATTGCAGGGGCGCCTCGACAGCCTTTGAGGTTCATGTTGTCGAAGGTTGTAGAGCTTGAGCAGGAGATCGACTGCAGAACTGAGTTACTCCAAACTTGTTTTCCGGTGAAGCGACGGCAAATACGTAAAATGCTCCCTAGATCTGCTGCGCATTTCGCGCTTTCTCGGTGACTCGACGAAGCAAATCAGCTCTGTGGTAAATCAAGTTTGCAGTCGAGCCCCCGCTCGGGGAGCCCCACAGCCCTTCCGCGTGGTGGTGTAGCCCCGCGCGCATGCTGCGCGTGTCCTGGCTGCAGCTCCCGGGCCCGCCTGCCGATCGCGAGTCACACGCGCGCGCGCGCGCGAGCCTCGAGCCTCCGCCCCCCCCTGCAGCTGCGCCGGGTGGCTGGAGCCGCTGGGCTAATGGAGGATGACGATTAATAAATGACCGGGGGTCGTGTTCAGGCGGCGGCGCCCGGGATGACGATTAGAAAAAACTGGCCGCGGGCTGGAAACCTATTCTTTTCATCGTTCTCCTCCAGTCAGAAAATTGTGCAGAAATAGCGGAAAACTATTTGTTTAATCGTTTTTTTTTTTGTATTAATCGTCATCCCGCACTATGGGGCACGGCCTAACAGGGCCCATTCCGATCCGATCGATCCGATTCGAGATCGGCTCCGGCCCGCCCGATCCGATTCGATGCAGCGGCACCGTAACAGGTACGCATTGACGGGTACTTTGGAAAGTTGCCGATAGTTGCCACTTTAGGGCCTCTTTCTTGCATTGCGGCGTTGCCTACATCGGGGAGGGTTGGGTTCGTCAGGTCACTTGCCAAAGTGCCCGTCAGTGGAGTTCCCGTTAGAGGGGCGCTGATCGATTCTGGTGTTACGACGATCCGATGCTGCCCGATGCTTGCATGGGGCTCTTGTGCATCGTGGCGCAGCCGATCCGATTCGATCCGACGAAGATCTCGACCCGATCCGATATCCCGGTCCGATGCTGACTGACCCTGGCTGGTGCCGCGGGGCGATGGGGCACGACCTCAAGCTGGTGGCTGTGGTCGGAGCGCCTCACTGCCAGGCTGTTGCGTCCACGCGCCGCGCGGCCAAGCCCGGGCCCCTATGGCGGGCTCATCTCTGGAGCCCGCCAGCATGAATGGCGGAGGGCGACCCTTCGCGGGCTTAGCTGCACCGATACGCCCGTTTTGATACGCAGCACGCACCGTGCTGCAAACGTCCGTGCCGATACGTTGCGCGTTGGCTCAACGTACTGGCCCATGTTATAGCGAACGTGTCGCGTAATACATACGTTTTCCCGATACGTGTTGAGCTCCGCATCAATCGGCGAGCGTGTCGCGGCATACCTACGCTTTCCCTATACGTGTTGAGCTCCTTAATTATCGACTAGACGTGAGAGTGACCTTCCGCCGGAGTGACCTTCGGTGCGGGCACAGATGGGTCCCCAGATGGCTGAAAACGAAGCAGTAGCAGCTGCTCCCGCGGCCCCCAAAAAGTCGCCCACCAGAGGTCACTCTCACCCGGGGTCACTCTTGCATGTAGCCGAAATTAGCAATACGCCGCGTGCTGCGTGTTGCGCATCGGGGCATCAAACCTTTCCGCGGCGCGAAGGATACCTGCGCCTCGCGCCTCGCCGAGTGGGCCGGGGAGACGTGCCTTTCTCCGGGGCGGCGGCGCGAGAGCGCGAATATCAGGAGGGGGAAAAACACACAGACACAATTAATCGTTGATTCCCCAGAAAATATGGGAAAAAATTGGCAGTGGGGAGGAAGACAAAAACCCAGAATATATTGGAACATATAGGAAATCCTGTTATTTGTGTGTGTATTTATTTGTGTGTCCCAGGGCCCCTTCAATATTGCCGCGCGCCACACTCATCGCGGGGCGCGGGGCGCAAAGTCGGGAGGCCTGCAGCGGAGATCCGTGCCAAGAAAGACCCCGCGTGCCTCCAGGGGTGCCCCGGGTTTCCTGGGTCTCGAGGGTGCTTTGCTGCGGGAGGCGCGGCGCTGCCACACCGAAAATCAAGGGACGCCCTGGGGGTCTCAGGGGGTCGGGTCTCTCGTGGAAGGTTTCTTGTGGACTGGCCTGCGCTGCAGCCGCGCGCCACGCATCGCGGGGCGCGGGGCGCGAAGTTGGGTGACCTAGATATCAGACCGGCGTGCGAGAGTCAGCCGTTGTCCTCCTCCTCCTCCTCCTCCTCGTCCGCCTCCTCCTCCTCCTCCTCCTCGTCCTCCTCCTCCTCCCCCAAGACGTCGTCCTGTACTACAGCCGTTGTCTGGGGCAGCCTGGGCGGTCGACAGCCCTCGTGGCTTCGCCCAGAGAACGATGAGTTTTTCGCACACGGGCAGTCCCCCACAGGACAACTACGACATCTCGGACACCGAGGAGGACCTGAACGGCAACCGTGTGGAGCCAGACCGTACAGGCTCCGACCAGCTGTCGACCCCGCGCTGCGTTTGCGTGGCAGCGTGCCGGAAACGATGATGTGCTCGCAGCAGCGGCGGCAGTGGCGCCTGCAGTGGCATCAGCAGCCGAGAAGGAGGAGGGAGATGGATGCCTGGGAGTGATTGACCGCCTTGAACGAAAGGGGCTCTGGAAGTGCTTCGCCGTCATCAGCCTCCCAAGGCCCTTCCAGGGCCTTGGGACCGTCAGACACGACTGAGGATGAGAAGCCCGTCCTGGGAAAGGCCACGGAGTCCAAGGCCCGCTTCTTCCAGGACCCGTCTCTCTCTCTCTCTCTCACGCCAGGATGACAAACGAGGAGTGCCTGGAGAGGGGGATCAAAGGAAGGGTGACAATCAGAAGCACGAGGGGCGAGGGCACAGAGGGCCCGGCACAACGCGGAGAGCAAGGAGAGGGAGAGGGAGGAGTCTCGTTTGCAAAGGGGGTGGACAGATGGACGGGTCGACGGAGGATGCGAGGATCAACCAATGTGTAGGGCGAAGGGAGAGGACAGGACGGAGTGGGCGCATCACCGGCGGAGGTGTGGAACGTCGGAGGGCGGGAGGAGAAGGAACGCGGGTGGAAATTGGGATTGAGCAGGAAGGATGGTGACAACAGTAGGGGGGCGAAAGAAAGAGGGAAGAGGTGGAGGGGGAGGAGGAGGAGGAGGGTAAGGAGTGGGAGGCACGTTGGGTCGATTGGCCAATGGCTCTCTCGAGACATAAAAGTTATCGAATCAGTATAGAACTGCGGGCCCCAGCACAATGCACGTGGCAGAGCTGCTGCGCATGATAGAAATTAACGTGGAATACCATGACAGGGCATTTGCAGCAGTCTCTCCCCAAGGGAGTTCGGAAGGTCTGATCCAAAATACGAGTGCGCTGGGAGATCTTCACGACGACACCCAACAAGAGCACAATTCGCGACGACACGCAAGTTCAGACTAAGAGTATGTTCTGCACGATGCCCTACTGGGGATTTCTCTCATGGGCATACCATAAAGAATAGCTCGTGCTACGAGGTCCATGCATGGCTCTTACTAGTACACCTGTGAGCCACATCCGCGAGGTGCACACATGGACACACCAGGCGAATGCCATCAGTCTTACTTGGAATGAAGACAGGAAAAGCCGACTGCTACCGCAGGAAGCCGTTGGTTTCGTCAAAAGACTTGCCGATGATTGCGACGCCCACCTTGCAAGAGGCGATGTGCATCTCATCGCATCGGCGGCCAGCGGGGCTGGCGCTGTTTGTGATCCACCCGTTCTTGCTTGTGACCCAGAGCTGACGGGTTCAGAAAGGGCTTGTAGCTTGTAGTCGCGGCTGATTGTGGTCCGCACCGTGGTCGCGGCCGACCTTGGTACACATGGACAGACCGACGAGTCAGCCCACGTTTACAAATCCTGATTCCGATCACGATTGCAGTGTATGCTCACAATTCGTGCAGTGATCGTTGGGATCACCAGCAGAGCGCAAACTGCCACAAGGTGTGCGACAAATCCATCATACACTTGGAATCCGCAGCAGCATCGGGCTCCCAGAGCAATCGCTCCGTTGAGGTTCGGCGGTGCAGGCACGACAGACCATGTGAGAAAATAATTTGGGTATGAGCAACAAATGAGAGTGCGATGTAGACACACGTGCAGACTTTGGAACGGTACGTCCCAGGATCGTTCACGTGGGGCCGTTAAGAGTGTCGGGAAGCCGCCTGGTGGTCCAGCACGCGTTTGGGCGTTGGCAAGATATCAAGTCGGATATAGCCAGGACCCAAGCTAAGGGGAGCCCGTTAGTGATTTGGCCCCGAAGCCAAAACAATTTGCCTGAATCATTGAACCAAGTCTGCTGTAGCTGGTGCTTCTTCGGGTGACGGCAGTTCCGCTTACTATATCTTATGGAGAAAAACCCTGCGGAAGCTTGTCCAGGGGGTTGGGGGGTCCGGAGGGTTGTCCAGACCCTTGCGGGGTTGTCCAAGGGGTTGCCCGGATTGCGTTGTTTTGTCAGCACGTGCACATGTTATTATCATGCATACCGTTCGAAGCATGGCACGACCAGGGAAGTTCCCTTGGAAATGTCGCCTCTTTTTCCCCCTTCCCCTTCCTGTGCCTTCCCCATTGAACATAGTAGCGGAACGGGGCGTGAGGGGGGACGTCCCTTGGTACACATCACGAAACCAGGTCCCTCTAAACCCAGTCCCGCCAACGCCCGATCAAACGCTGGCCAGACAGCCAAGACCTTGACATCGTTCGGACGTGTGCATTTTTTGTCGGCGAGGACCATCGAGGAGCACCCTGGATCATCGGGCAGAAAGCCTGCAAGAAACCTAAACATGCATGGGGAATTGACGTCCGAGCGATGGCAAGAGTCACGTGTGTCCAGCAGTGGCGAAGCGCCGTGGCCTGCCTATAGGCCTACCAGAAATGTTATAAGAACCCTTTGTGGTCTGCGCGACATGTTCTCAGAACAGTTCTGGCTGAGACTGTCTGATTTGAGCACATCGGGGTTATGTTCTTAGAACAGACTTGTTTCTGTTATGTGGACATTTTTGGGTTCTACAAACATCTCGTGGTAGGCCAATGCACATGCCAGGACGGCCGGTCCCTGCTCAAGCATGGCAATCTGCAACGTGTCTAGGTACGGTGGTGGATAATGTCCACGGTGGTCAGGGCTGGTTCGCGCCGCCTCGGCGCTGCGGCGCCCCCCCGGGAGCTCAAGATGCACCACCCCTCTGCGGGGTTAGTTGGCCGTTTTGGCTGAAGGTCGGGGCCACGAGTGTGTCCACTGTGCTATGCTACAGTGGAAGCCCATGCCAAGAAACACCCTGCTTGCCGCCAGGGCGCCCTGGGTTTCTTGGGATTCGATACTTTTGCTCTGGAGAGCGTGACGTTCCCAAACCAAAAATCTATGGACGTCCTGGGGCCTCAGGGTTAGGTTTCTTGTGGGAAATGTCTTGTGGGCGAGCTCCCACTGCATGTTGTCCACCACTTGGTGGCATGTGGTGGCCCAAACACAGTGTGTGTTTGGAAAATATATCGCTATATATATACACGTACATACATACATACATACATACATACATACATACATACATACATACATACATACATACATACTTGTGTACATATATATGTATATATATATATATATAGACTCAGCGTCTGTCTCCCGAAGAACTGGCCAGAGAATGATACACCATACGTTGCCCCGTGGGGCTATTTGCGAAGTCAGGTGGAACAGGGCAGACAAACCTTGGCGCATACCTATCTGATTTGAATAATCGTATATCAACGCGGTTCCCATCAAGGATGGATGCCCATGCGCACCCGCAGCGCCCTGCCCGCGGGCCGCCCTCCTGGAGGCAGCCACAGCCCCTCCCGGGCGAAAAATCTCTCCTCGTCCGCGGCCTCGCGGGCCAGGCCCCTGTACCGCGACCCCGCGGATGCGGATGCGCGTTGTTCGAGGATGCCCCTCGCGGAACGCATCCGTGGCACCGCGCGCTCGCGGGATCACGCCTCGGAACCTAAACCGTGCAGGCGTGGACCCGCAAACGTTCGCCGCTCGTGGGCCCGGGCGCGCTGGCGCGCGTGCGCGTTCGCCGCCGGGACCCGCGCGCGGTGCCGCCGCGGACGACGCCGTGCTGGGCTGCCAGATCCACGCCTACCGAGGGTGTCCGCTTCTCCCGCGGCGCCTGCGATGGGTCGGCTACCGCTGGGTCTGGCGCGGGTGGCTTGCTTCGGCGGCGAAATCCAGACCCTGCCCTCGCCGATCAACGAGTCAGGCAACTCGATGGGCGGCGGGAGTAGGGTTCAGAGTTCGTCGACTACGTGGCGAAATTCGAATCCTATCCCTGCCTCCCATCGATTCAGACCGATGGGAGGCGGGGGTAGGGTTCGGATGTCGCCACCTGCTGCTGCTGCTGCTGCTGCTGCTGCTGCTGCTGCTGCTGCTCTTCATCCTCCTCCATGACTTCGCGGCGCGACAGGTTTCCGCTCTGCCTCCCGGTGCCCGCCGAGCCACAAGTTCCACTTGCCGCCCGATGCGGGGCCAGCCGCACCGCTCGTGGCGCGCCGTTCCTCCCCCCTCTTGGCGGGGGCAGGCCGTCCAGGCTGAGTCGGAGAGCGCACGCCGAGTCGAGCGCCATGGGCCTGATCGACGGGCACGGCGCCCACAGCAACGTGGCGCGCGGCGCCGCCGGCCCGGTCTGCCACCATCCTGCCGGACGAGGTGCGCGTGGCGCTCGTCGGGGCTCAAGAGACGGGGGTCAATTCAAACGGGGGTCGGATCCTGCAGGGCCAGGGTCGCATTGGCATTGACCCGGGCTTGGGTGCAGGATCTTGCAGGATCTTGCAGGACCCTTCTCGTTGACCTGGGCCTGGGTGCATGACCATGCAGGATCTTGCAGGAGTCGGCAAGCCCTGACTGACCCGGGTCTGGCAGGAAAAAAAACACCTCCTGGGGGGGGCCCGTCTCGGGCACTGTCAAAGGGAGGAGGAAACACCCCGACCCAGATATGCGGTGCTTCCTGAGCAGCCCTGGGCCATTATTGAGCTGCCCTGCGTTGTTCGGTTCCTTCCTTGGGCGCGCTTACTTAACATCGAAAGCACAAAGAACCCCCAACCTGAAGACGTGGCATCCCTGAGGCCCCCGTCTTTGCCTCAGGGGTCAGAAGTATGGGCGGCCTCGTTCGATGCAACTGCCGAAAAGGGCCCCCATCCCCAATGTTTTTCGGCCCTCCTAGCCTTAGATCCCCGCCCAGACAGGACTGGGGGCCCTCTTTTGGTTGGCCAGCTTGGGCTTCGCCCGTCGGGCCTCTTTGTTTGTCCACCGGGACCCGGGGAGATGGCCGCCCACGGCGGGAAGCCGGCTTGACAGGCGGGGGGCCTCCGAGAGCCGAGCTCCTTCCGGTCTGAGCGGTGCACGAGCCCAGACCCTCTCGCTATGTTGGGTGTCTGCAGCGATTATGTATGGCGTCGATTCTGCAGGTCTAATATTACTTATTTGTGTTGCTGCCGCTTTCGCTTATTACCCCGCACGGGGTGGCGGAGTCTTCGACTATAGAGGAGGAGCAATCAGGAAAAAAAAAAAACAAAAAAAACCTCTCGCTATGTTCGTCCCCATGGGGGGAGCCCTGCCCGGGCCTCGGGGCTGTCCAGGCACGCCTCGGGATGAGAGGCCGGTCCCCGGGAAGGGGTCCAGACCTTGGGGGGTCGGCGCTGCGAAGAGTCGCGGCGTCGGGGGTCTGTGTCTGGTGCCGTCGTAGCGGAAGCTCGCCAAACGCAGGTGCTCAGCACGGGGTTCGCTTCGGCCCTCTCCTTGGCCCGGCGGCCGCCTGACCACCGTATCCAGTGCTGTTTTGTGGTGCTCGAGGCCTCCTTCCTCGACCACCTTGCATCAGCAGCAAAAGCAGTTTGGCATGGGGTCGCCGTCCTCTGCGGGGGAAAAGCATGCAGGGGCTCAGCACATGCAAAGAACACATCCGGCATGCACGAGCCTCACTTTCTCTCCACATGCTCGCATCTTTCGTCACACCTGCACGTACACATCCCTTCTCCTGGTCTACCCGTCCTCCCTGTCATGCGCAGCAAGCAAAGCCAGACGTGCGGCGAGAACGCTCGCGAGTGTGCAGAAAAAGAGAGACAGAGAAAGAGAGAGAGAGAGAGAGACGGGGGGAGAGAGAGAAAGAGAGAGAGAGAGAGAAAGAGAGAGGGGAGAGAGCAAGAGAGACAGAAAGAGAGGGACAGACAGACAGACAGACATACAGACAGACAGACAAACAGACAGACAGGCAGACGGACGGACGGACGGGCGGGCAGGCAGACAGACAGACATACAAACAGGGAGAAAAAGAGAGAGAGAGAGAGAGAGAGAGAGCGGAGAGGCAGAGATACGGGCTAACATAGAGATTGAAATTGCAGAGGCAATCGTAGTCCGCTTGCTCTGTGCAGAGGGAGAGGATCAGCAATCAGCGAGAGAGCAAGAGAGAGGGGGAGAGAGACAGGAGAAGAGAGGCAGGCGGGACGTAGACGAGGGAGGGACGGGGCAGCGGCAAATTGCTCGCCGACGCAGAGCGGAAAGGAGATTGGAACGATGACGCTGACAATGACGTCGTCATCGTCATCGTCAGAGTTTGCGATGCGCGCTTCGAGGTAAGCACGTGCCCTCTTGGTCCACGAACTACCTGCAGGCGGTCCAGGCAGGCCCGCGGTGATTGCGCGCAGCACTGGAAGAGTCAGTCGTGATCTCTGGGTGCAGTGGACATGGCAGGATGAGCGCCCAAGTCATGGACGTCCGAAGGGGCCGTAAACGTTGTTGGCTCCCGCGCAGACATGTCTCTGTGCGATGTGCGATGCTTCTTGCCTCCGCGTGGTTCCAAGGACCTTGCATTCCCGCTGGGCGGCTGCCCTTCCTTGTTGACCCGGTTTGCGTGGCCGGATGCTGGAATCCCCGGCACCTGGCGAAGCGTTATAGCCCTGGAGTGGGGGAGCAGATGCTGGGTGAGTCGGAGCAGGAGCCGAGGCCAAGAGAGCCAGCCCGAGCGAGTCCAGCGGGCCCCGCTCCTTCTCCCTGCCCTGGACCCGCCCTCCCTTCCATCACACGAGGAGCATCACTGCCCGCGTGGGCCCCAAGCAGCTGCTCTCTCCGGCGGCTCGGGAGGCCGAGGGGCAGCGGCGGCATGTCACGTGCCCGCAGGAGCGGCGCAGCGTTGCGTCGGGCCCGTCCGTTTTTTTTCAATGAGCAGGTGTTCGACTACGTGTTGTGTCGTCCAAGATCCGCCTGTAGGAGGACGTGCCCGACCTCAACGCAGCGGCTGCGAACAGTGAGGGCGGACACTCGGCAGCGGGAGGCGGCTCCAATGATAGCGGGGCGACGTGGCCGAGGCTTTCGGCTGTGCTGCCAGCTGCTTTGCGGCAGGCCGCTCCCAAGCGGCACCACCCAAAGGCCACCGGGGCGGGCACGAGACATCGCCACGAGTCGAGCATCCCGGAGTGCCGGCCGTGGGGCATCACCCGGGGAGCACCAGGGCGGGAGCGAGAGCTCGCGGACGGGATCCTTGTCAGGCGCTTGATCGGGAAGCGGAAGGGCTCCACGTGCCACGTGAGGACGCGGTGGCCACGCATCGACACCGAGATTGGCTACGTGAGGTCTCTCCTCACCAACCGCCAGTTGGTCAACACGCGCGGGATTGCTGCTGCGCCGAAGGTCTCCCCACCGTCGTGCTACGATACCCACACGGCGGAGATCAGGTCGTTTCGACACGCACGCTGGATGCCCAGACGGTTTTCCGTCATATTCGCTGCCCTTGGAGATCGCGAAGTTCGTTCTTTCTCATCAAGGCAGCCCGAAACGACAGGGCCGTTTTTTTTGCCGGTTCCGTTGTGCCGTGTTTGTGGCCGGTTCCGACGTCGTTCTTTTGCGGGTTCATCGCAGTTTGTTTTGCCAGTTCCGGCTCTGGTTCCAAGCCTGGAGCCGTTTTTGCCGTTTTCGGCCGCCGTTTTTGTGCCGTTTCCATGTTCAAGAGATTTTTTCCGGAAGCGCTGAAAGAACGGCCCTGCCGTTTCCGGGGCCCACGAAGGTTTGGACATGTACGGCATCTTCTTGCTGATAACCTCCTGGGTGGCACGTTTTGGCTGAAGGGAGAGGGCGACCTCCTCATGAACACCAAGGTTTTTTCTGTCGGGGAGGTGTTCGAGGTGGGCTGTCCCCTGGTGGTGTCAGCCTGCGCCCTGGCCGAGCTGACGTCTGGGCCTGAGGGGGACCCTGGAGCCCACTCATGCCTGATGGCCCTGGGCACACTCTTGCCTGGGCCGCTTCTGACCATCGTCGGGGCGAAGCTGATGGGGCTGCTCATGCTGCTCAAGAGCGCGCTTCCGCCCATCACGGTCCACGCCGACGCCTCCTAGGTGGTCAAGGGGGTGTTGGAACGAGGCCGAGAGGCCGCGCACACCAGCAGAGCCTCGCGGGGCCAGGTCTGGCGCCGCATCTGGCACGCGATGGGCGACTATCGGGGCCCAGGCGCAGACGGTCTCATAGTTTTGAGCGTCACGGGCCATTCCAACCTCGAGGATGTGGAGGCAGGCAAAGTCGCGCTGCGGGCCGGGAGCGGCAACATGGAGTCGGACAGGTGCGCACGGTTTGCGGGTCACGAGGTGTTGGCGCGCGAGGAGTTGAGGCAGGCGAGGTTGAGGCGTGCAGTCGCCTTGGACGGCGTGGTCTTCTGGGTGGCACGGGCTGCAGCTGAGGCAGCCGACCTGAGGGCCAACTTCTACGACGACTACAAGGAACCGGACTCGACGGGGCCCCAGCCCACGCTCACGGCGGACGACTCGACGAGGCCCCCCAGCGGCCAGGGCGTCCATTACCGGAGGTGTCCCAGGAGCGGCTCCACCTTGGAGGGTGCCAGGAAGCTGTGCGCCAAGTCCTGTCGGGCCACGGAGGCGTCGGCTCCCCGCGCCGACGGCGCTGGGGCGGAGCAGCGACCACCTGCTTCAGCACCGGCCGCGCTGCTGGCGGCTGCCGCCGCGGCGAGGCCGACGGCCCAAAAGGCCTTGGGCGCTGGCCCCGGCAGCGCTGCCGGGCCAGGCGCGGCCTCGAGCCGAGGGGCGCCCGTCGGGGCCGACGGCAAGGGCCACTCGCCACGCTCCCTCCGCGGTGGCGGGGCGTGCGCGCGGTGCTGGGCCCGCGCCCCGGAGGTCGAGGGCGAGCGCCGTGGGCCCGGCAGCGAGCGCGGCCGGCGGGGCGTGCGCGCGGTGCTGGGCCTCTGCCCAAACGGCCCCGTGACCCGCTCCCTGGAGCGCTGCGCTGCCTGGGCGCGCAGTGCGCCCTGCGCCAATGATGGAGAAGGACCGGTCACTCGCAACACGCGAGCCACCAGAGGGCATACACAGGGCGCGAGATGCAAGGCACCACCCACGGAGTGCAAGGCCACCGTCGCGAACTCGCAACACACGAGGCACATGTGGCGGCAGCCATGGGGCACAAACCGTAGGGCACAAGGGCCACAGCGATGAGTCGCGACAATCAGTCAGATTGCACAAGCCGTGAGGCACCACCCATCGAGCACCAGGTTGAGCACGAGAACGCCTCAACAGGCGAGTCACCATAGAGCTTTATCCTTGGCGGAGAACTCACAATTTGCAATGGCGAGAACCAGAACTCGCAACGAATGAGTCTCCATCGCGCATCGGCCATGATACGCCACCCGTCCGGCACCAGGGCAAGAACGAGAAACCGCAACAGGCGAGACACCATTTAGCAGTCGCGCACCGCCCAGAGGGGGGCACCAGCTAACACAACGATCGCATCGCAAACATGAGATCGCCAGAGGGCACCCCGCGCGGGGCATCAGTTCAATAACGAGAAGCTGAAACCAGTAAGGCACCATACGGGACCAGCCACATGGCACCACAGCGCACAGCACATCATAACAATTACGAGGAGCTTCAGAAGCACTCCAATTGGGACGCTGTAGGGCAGTGGCCATCAAGCACGACCCAGAAGTAACCAGGGCAAAAACGAGAACCCACACAACATACACCAAATCGTACGACACAGACAGTAGCACGTAATCCTTCCCCCGCGAGGGCAATAATGACCATATGTTGGCAACAGTTGTTTACACATCCTGCCGCTACGAGTAAGAAGCCATCCGCGCAAGCATTGCGTTGGGAAGTTGCGTAACGAGTGGACCTTGGGACTCGCATGTGCTCCCACAGCGCGAATGGAAGACGCTCACACGTGCGCGCGGTCCCGTCTCTATCGAAACATTGCGCGGGCATGCTTTGAAAGAGTATACACTAAATTGATTGTGATTTCTACGATGCCGTCATGAGCGAGGCGGACGTCGCGATCAGATCGACCAGCTCGCGAGGCCGAGGGTCTTAGCAGGTGCGCTGTTCTCGACCCCAGGATGGATTCCAGAATGTGGTTCCATCTTCACCACACCGTTTCGGCTTCGCTGCTAGAGACAGAGAGAAAGAGAGAGAGACACAGAGATAGAGACAGAAACAAGGCCGAGCCCCAGAGATCGTGAAGTTTGTGAGTCGTTCCTTGGATGAGGAAGAGGAGGATTGGACTTCTGATCCAAGCATTCTTCGCTGAGCCGCCTTCGGCTTTCAGCTTATCGTGCGACCGTTGACCGCTCAGTCAGGCAATACCAATACGCTATGAGATTTATGCGGGGCCAGAGGTTGAACCTGTTTCGAAGGAAACGCCAAGGAACGCAAGTCCACACCTGATTCGACACATATGGACCGAGGGTGGAATGTGCAATGGGATCAGCAGTAGGGTCGGTTTGACGAGCGCTGAAGTCCCCAATATGCCAGGGACGATGAGAGACCAAGCGATATGAAGATACAGTGGCGCGGACACGATGGGGTCAGCCTTTGCTAGGAATACGGGGGTATCCAGATTTAGTTTAGAAAACAGTGCGCTAGTGTCCGTCTTGTGTTCATCCCTTCAGGCGCAGGCGTCGCTGGATCCAGACAGCATCTTTGGCACGCGGGTGCCCCAGTGCGACTTGGAGGCGCCAAGAGCTCTTCCCTTTGGGGGGCGTTGACTTGCACTCCATGTAAACCAATCCACATAATTTGCTGTAGTCGACCTTGTGGGTTGTTCATCAATATTGGCCCTCATTTCAATATCATGTGTGCTTGTGGACGAGCATTCTCACGCGTTGTAATTGCATGGTTGTTGGGAGAACGCATGTGGATAGGCACATGTGTACACATGCGCATGCGAATGTGTCCATGAATGCCGATGCGCGTGGGAGTGGGTGCGCGCATGTACGTGTTCAGGCTTGGCCGCAAGCGTATATTTGGACTTACATGTGATCGCGCAAGTACGTTGGGCTTTGCATTGGGATCTGCTGACGCCTGTTTCCAATACACTTGTATGCTGCCAGCTCGCAAGAAAGTCCATTCGTCTATCTGTGTGTACGTCGCGGTTGTTTATCAGGCAGGGTTCTGTGAGACCCACCGATACCTGAGGCTTGGCGCCGCCGGCGCCCCCAAATGCCACAGTCGGGGGGCGATTCCAGGGCCCGACGCCACCGCGCAAGCAGGAATAGCAACAAACCCTGGCTAGCACAAGCTCGGCCCCGTCGAAGCCGAGAGGAGCGCGACGACTGAACAAAAAAGCAACCCGGCCGAGGTGTCCAGAAGCGATCCTCCGCTTCCTCGATTATCCTCCTCGTTGTCTTGTCTTGTCCCCTCCTCCTCCGCCCTCCTCCTCCCTTCCTCCTTCTCCTTCTCCTTCTCCTGGTCTTGGGCCCCCCTTTGGGCCCTCTTGGAGGCCCGGGATCGGCGAGAACGACAGCAGCAAAAGCGGCCATCAAACGCTCCACCGATTGCTCGACGGCAGCAGGCTCCGATGGCGCGCGCGCGGCGCCGCCGCTGAGCCCCAGAAGCGGTTCTCCTTCCCCTCCTCGATTCTTCTCCTCGTTGTCTTGTCTTGTCCCCTCCTCCTCCTCCTCCTCCTCCTCCTCCTCCTCCTCCTCCTCCTCCTCCTCCTGGTCTTGGGCCCCCCCTTTGGGCCCTCTGGGAGGCCCAGGGTCGGCGAGCAGCAGACGGAAGCGGGGCCCGACGGCGCGCGCGGGGCCGCCGCCGCGGAGCCCAAGAGCGGCAAACGACGGCAGCAAGAGCGCCCCGAGCACCTCCAGCGGCTGCTCGACCGGAGCACGGGCCCCGAAAGGTCGCGGCGGCCTCGCGCGGCGCGCAGTGGTGGTGTTATCCAGCCCACACGCCCGCCCCGTCGGGCACGGGGCGACGTCCGCGCAGCGCGGGGTTCCGACGCGAGTCCGGGGTGAGTTCGGCGTGGATCCGACGCGGTTCCGACGCGGACACGGCGTAAATTTGGTCCCAAAGTTGCCGCGCGAGGCCTCACAGGAGATCCTCCACAAGGCCTCACACGGTGCCAGCGCTGATGGGGTCAGAGGATCGCGCCTCGCTGCCGATGCAGCGGCGATGCGGCGCGACGTGGGACCCGATCTTGTCCACGCGGATCTCACCGCTGCAGCACCGACGTCGCGGGTACATGTTTGGTGCATTTGCGATGCATCTGTGATGCGGGGCGATCCTTCGACCCCATCTGCTCGGACCGGGTCTCGAGAGAGCGCTCACCCAGACAAGTCGACTGAAGAAATCTGTACGGGTTCACTCGGTATTGGCATTCGGTTGTGCCGGTGCAGTCCCCAGTCGGTTTCGCTAATCGGCGTGCGTTTCGCCTGACACATTCGGTTTCTTGGGGGGGACAGCGATTAACAACCCCGCTGGGGTGCACTTGGAATGCGGTGCCGTGCGCTAGGATGTGGAGTGCCCCTGGCAGTTGTCATTGAAGGTTGTTTGCCAACGGGTGTTGTGTCAGTCTTCAGACGCGGCGAGATGCCTCGACCACACCTATCCGGAGCGACAGTGAACAGCGGACTCGTTTGTGCCGACATGCGCGCGCAAGCTGCCCGCGCAAGGCCGCGCGTGCGCGCCCTCATTGCCAAGGTAGCCTTCCTCGCGGGCGACCCGCGTAGGCCGCCGCGTGAGGTCGCTATGTCAGCCCGCGTACGTCGAAGCAGAAACAGCGCCCTAAACGTCTTGTTTGGCGCTCCGCGCGGATTTCTGGGATCCGCGCTGGGCCCCCCCCCAGCGACGCCTCCGGCGCCGTCCTGGGCGCGCCCTGGCGCGCTCAGGGAGGGGGGGTCCGGCGCAGATCCAAGAGAGGCCGCGCGGAGCGCCAAGAGTCTGCGTGGGAGGACCCCGCCCGGCTCCGTCGCTCATTCGGGAGGCCTCTGCCTGCTCGGCCGAAGCAGGCTCCCGTGGCGCGCGCGCGCGCGGCGACGCCGCCGCCTCGGCTCGAGCGGCCCGCCTTCTCTGCGCGGCACCGCGCGGCGCGCCGACCGACCCCGCTCGGCGGCGGTGGCCCGCCAGCGGAGGGGCGGCGCTCCTCCAGGCCACGCCGGGCGGGGCGAGCGTTGAAAGTACGTATTTTCTGGATTCCCAGATCCCAATCTGCTATGAGCGCCTTCCTGCTTCAGCGATCGAGTGGCTTCACATGTTCCGCCCTCTTCCGGGGGCGGACGGACACCCAGTCTTCCTACTTCATGTTTCGACTTATTTCTTCCGACCGACTGGTACCCTTGCATCCTTGCCTCCATGGCCCATCGTTGGCCACTTTCGTTTGCCGCGCCCCCCTCGGAAAGATGCGAAGTGGGCTTCCAAGGCCCTGGCATCCTTATCGCGCATCCTTACCACACGGGTTGACTGTACGTGGACTACGCGGGGGCCTCATCTGTTCCAGCTTTTGCTGCATTCTTTGGCGTCCAGGTGGCTTCGGACAGCTTCGGAATGGCCTCGGAAGGGCCCAGGACAGCCTCGGAATGGCCTCGGATAGCTTCCGAATAGCCTCCGAGTAGCCTCAGGATGGCCCTGGATAGCCTCGGAGAGCCTCGGGTAATCTCAGGCATGGCGCGGATTGCCCGGTCAGGGGAGCAGACAGGGTCTTTCAATAGTTTCACCATGTAGGCGAAGTGGTCAGGGTTGTTTCCATGGACTGCCAACCGTCACGCCTCCTCTGAAGAGAATGCCTAGCAGGGAGGAAACGCATTAAACATACATGAGGACCTCGCTGGTGCTCCGCCAGTCGAGGTACGCCTTCTCAGAGAGGGTTCCCTGACGTAGCCACCAGCGAAGTGGCCAGGGGTCCGCAGACGACTTTTGTGCAGCGTACTGCGTTGGGCTTCCCCGAGGCGCCGTGCATCCTCGACCCAGGAGCGGTACGGTGCGCAGGTGTTCGGCCCTCAGAGCCGACAAACATTGTGCACCGTGCCTCGTAGGAGTAGGGCATGAAGGGAGTCCAAACATGGTGCCTTCCTCGTCCGTGCATCCTCGACCCAGGAACAGTACGGGGTGCATAACTAGTTACTCGGCACTCAGAGCCGACAAACATGGTGCACCGTGCCTCGTAGGAGCAGGGCATGGGGGAGTCCAAACATGATGCCTTTCTCGTCCGTGTGCATCCTCGACCCAGGGACGGTGCGGTGCGTAGGTGTTCGGCCCTCAGAGCCGAAAAGAAACTGTGCCCCCCTCCTCGTGGGAGCAAGGCTCAGAAGTCCTGCGGCCTGCCGACACATCTCCCAGGCCTTCCCCGAAAACGCAGGGAACTTCTCAGAAGGCGAGAGGGTTTCTGAGAATGCCCGCCGCCTTCTGAGAAGGCCTTCTCCTTCTCACTGCCCCCTCTCGCTCGCCGCCACATGGTACCGCTCTCGTCTAAGAGGGGGGGGGGGGGGGGGGGGGCGAAACTGAACCGGGAGAAGACGGATGCGAAGGCCGGGAGCAGAGGAAGTCCTTGGCCCGGCTCGAGCAGCAGGCCCTGCCGTTGCCGAGGGGACGTTGTGCCGCAGCGGCCGCCGCGTCGGCTCGGGAGCCAGCACTCGCTGCCGGGCACCGTGCGCAGCAGTTCTCTCCCGCCCCCGTCACGGGGACTGCCGGGGGTCAGGCAGTGGCGAAGCGTCCTGGCACCCCTATAGGCCTACCAAAGAATGTTCTAATAACCTTTATGTGGTCTGCACGAAATGTTATATTGTTCGCTTTCCTTCCGAAGAATCCGCCCGCAGGAAGGCATGCTGTAGCTGCAGCCAGCCCGCGCGAACAAAAAACAGCTATCCACAGGGGTCCGCTCTATAGGGGCCTCGGCGACCTCGCGCCGCGGGCCCCGAGCGCGCGGGGCGCTCGGCATCCGCCAGGCTGCGCCAGGACGCCACAGGCCTCCTCCTCTTCCTCCTGCTCCTCCTCCTGCTCCTGCTCCTGCTCCTGCTCCTGCTTCTCCTCCTCCTCCTCCTCCTCCTCCTCCTCCTCCTCCCAAAAGATGCGCCGATGTCTGGCCCGACTGGGCTGGGTGCGTCGAGATGTTCGGAGCTCGCCCTCTATCCATGAGACCTTGGCGTCTCGGTGTTTTCGAGCCAGGGGCGTTCGCCCTTCCTGTCGGGCCCGGGGGGCCCTTACAGATCTCGACGCGGCTCGAAACATGGCGCAGAAAGATGGGGTCTATAGGGCTGCCGGCGTGGTCTGTTTACGGTCTTGCATCCTCTGTCGCTACGTCGGATGATCTCAGGGGCGTCATGGAGGAAGCGGGTCCTGAGGTTTGTCGCCGTGTTCGGCCGCCCGGGGCGCTCCACCGGGACCGCCAACAAAACGACTCGTGCGAAGATTCGGTTCTAGGGGAAGGCCCCGGGGCCCATGGCCCGTTTCCCTCAGGACCCGGCCCCTTCGTGCCAGGTCCTCTCGTCATCGTGCGCGTGTGCTTCGCTGTTCGCTGGGCGATCGACGTTGCACCGATGCCTCTGCTCGCGCCCTGTCACCACAGAGGGGCACAGTGGGCACATGGGTAATTCGAAGCCCGGCCTCTGGAGCACGAGTCGTGCACCCGTGCCCTCCCCCCTGTGCCACCACCCACCAAACCACCCCAACCCAATCCAACCCGAAGGCTTCAATTTGCCCTCCATGTCCAGGGGGTCGGGGAACACTGCAAAAAAGCAGATGGAACACGTACCCCCCAACCCGAAATTCGGGTCTTCGGGTTGGGTTGGGGTGGTCTGGTAGGCAGTCACTTTGGCGTCCAGAGCTGGAGGCAGCAGTCCGGAGTACAGCCACATGACGCTGAAGAGTAAGCGGCTCCTCGGGGCGGTCCGCGGTCGTTCCTCCGGAATTCCTGGAGGCCGGAAAGGATGAAGTCAGGCACGTCTTTCTACAGGAGGAAAATTAAAAGATAGTCAACAAGTAGTTTGGTTCATTATTGTTTGATTCAAACAATGGTCAAACATCCGCCTGTGGGGGGACATGCCCGTCCTAAGCAAAGGGGCTTCGTTCTTTACTTGTGGCGTTCGTTGCGGTAGCATCGGCGACCACACAGGACAGGGTGCGGTTTCCGCTGGGGTGTGGTCTGCGATCTGCGCCGTTGGGTCCTGGGGGGCACCACGTGGCTCTCGTCGGGCCTCCTCGGGAGGCGGCGGAGAAGCGAAGCGAAGCGAAGCGAAGCGAACGCCGGAGGCGTGCGTGCTCCTACGGGGGGCACGCCCGCGCCCATTAGGGCATGGCGTGGAGGCCGTGGCCTCAAGCATGTGAAACATAGGCGGACTCACGTGATGAGCACCGCAGGCCGTTTGTGTTGTTGTGTTGGTGTCGTCGTGGTTGGGTCGCCGCTCGGATCTGCTCCTGCCCGGTGTCGGTGTCGCAGTGGTGCCCGTCCAATGTGTGGAGGCATTTCCGGATGTCGTCGTCCCATCGTTTTTGTTGCCTTCCATGTTGTTGTCGCCCTTTTCGTCGAGTGTTGAGATTTGGGTTCCAATTAAGAGCTCCCTGTGTTTCCCCTCCAGAGCTCCGCCCCTCGGCCTCAGGCGGATCGCGGCCTTTCGCACTCTGAGGCTTGGGCCGCTCAGGCCGCCCTGCATCTCCTCCTATTCCTCCTCTTCCTCCTCGGCACTTTTTTCCGTGGCACAAGGCGCCTCGGTACGCTGAGGCGCGAGCTCAGGCCGGTGCGTCCTCCCAGGCGCAGCGGCCCTCATCTCCTCCGTGCTCTGGTGCACGCTGCACCTCGAGCCGCGGGGCCCACCTCGAGGGCCCCCGCTCGCACTGGCGGGGGGACCTGGCCCCACTCTGGCCCAGCACTCCTAAACAACCCGGCACTACGCCATGCGCGGTCGGGATCTGGCTCGCTCGGGGTAGGCTGCCATCAAGGTCTCCGGAGGTACTCGTCCCTCCTCACCCCTCCCCCGCCGCCCCTCTCAAGGCCTCCGGCGGTGTCCGTCCCGCCTTGCCCGCAGACCTACCTCTGTGCCTCCTCCTCTTGCAGCCCATCATCGAGCTCCTCTCGCAGCCTCGCTGGCCTCGACGCTCCCCTGCGCTTCCAGCTCGCGGCCTGTGGCCACAGCTGCCCACGCGCCACGAGCCTCAGGCTACTGCGGCTGTCCTGTCCTCAAACCATTGTGATGTCCGTGGCCGCCATACTGCTAGCCACTCCTTCCGCCATGCCGCGCGCCTCCCAAAGGTACCCCTGGAAGGCATCGCTCTTCCACCTACCCCAGCGCTGCACGAGCGCTGTGTCCTTGAATGCCGCATACAGCGCTGACGCTCCTCCGATCCTCAAGCTGTGCGAGCCCAGGTCGTTCGGATCCATGCCCTCTGCTCCGGCCGACTGCATCACCACGTGCTGGACGTCCGTCCTCGTAACCAGACGCGCGTCGTCGTAGGCGAAGAGCGGATCATACATACGCGTCCCCGAAAAGCGCTCTCGCGCCCATCCCTCGTAGATCTCCAGCGCCTCCACCACGCAGATGTGTTCGTCCTTCTACGCGCCTGGTGGGATCTCGACCCTAGGAGCTTTGAGCCTTGAGCGAAAAGGGTTGCGGGGAACGGGCGAGAGGCAAGCAGAGGCAGAGGCAGAGACAGGACAGGAGAGAGGGGCTACGCCAGGCTGGGAAACCCCATGTTCTAACGAACGTTCATATCCAGCGTGTCGCAGGGTGAAGAGCCACCGTATTTGCCCAGCGCCAGGCCATCCTTCGGTGTAGGTGGAGTACATCGGGTATATCATGTTTCAGCATCAATGTCTCTGCTCTCCGTGTACTCCTGCGGATGAAGTCGGACCACAAATCGACGTCCTCGTTCTGGGTATTGCCCGGTTGCGTACTTTCGTCGTCGTTGACGTCGTCCTGCGCGTTTGGCTGGTGTGCAGGTGGGTTGCTGCAAACGTCGGACGACTCGCTGGAGTCGCTTGGTGCTGTGCTGCTGGTGTCCTTGCGATTGTCTGGGGATGTCTCAATATTGTGTTGTGGTGTCGGTGTCGCTGCCGTGCGTCTCCTTGGTGTTCCGATTCTGATTCGTACCATCCGTCGTTGTGTTCTGCGTAACTGCTCCTAGAGAGGCTCTGTCAACGTCCACGTCTCTGCTCCGTACGTCATAGAAGGGATGACGGTGCCCCTGTATAGTGTATAGTCGTAGCCGGTGTCGCAGTGGATAGTGCTTGCTGTTGAGTTCTTGTCTGTGGCTGCTGAAACATGCCCATGCTGCCCGAGTCTGGTGCTGTATTTCGGTTCTGGGTGCGTCGTGGAAAGTAATGGTCTGGCCCAGGTAGGTGATGGTGCTTGTTCGTGGTAATATGACGATGCCCATTCCTGCTACGTTAGCTGTTCGGTCGCGGTGTCGAGGCGGATTGGTAATGATTTTGGTCTTGGTCGGGTGCAATTCCAGTCAGTGCTCTTTCGCTGCGGTGATAAGGTCGGAAAGCATTGCTCTTAGGTTGGGCAGTGTTTGGCTTGTCAGCAAAATGCCATCTGCGAACCGAAGGTTCGTGAGTGTCGCCGCGTCGGTGTGTCCCAGTTGGGCGCCTTGGTGTTTCCTCTGCCAAACTGAGATCAGCGATGCTAAGACGTGTTGGGGTAATTCATTGAATAGCAATGAGTTCCGTGGATCCCCTTGCTTTGTGCCGCGTTGGAGCTCGAACATGTTACTGGTGGTGTCGGTGCAGACCACGGCTGTTTGGTCTCCGTACATGCGTCGTAGAAGGTCTACGTACCCAGGCATGACGTCTTGGTGAAGCAGATCTGCCCACAGGCTGTCGTGTTCGACTGTGTCAAAAGCCTTTTTGAAGTCGGTTGCTGCAGCCCAGAGATTAGTTATGCTTCCATCCGGCTGCCATTTCACGTAGAATATTTCAAGTAAAGAGGTGATCGCGCGTGCCTCGTCTGGGGCGAAAGCCCGCCTGATCGTCGGGTTGCTGTCGTTCTAGGGTTGGTTGTAGCTTGTTGTGCAGTAATCGGCTGACAAGCTCATACAACGTCGGTATTGTGCAGATCGGGCGATAGTTCTGTGGAAGCGTCAAGTCGCCCGATTTGGGGATTACAGTGATGACGGTCCTTCGCCAGCTGACCGGCGCAGGGGCGTCTGCCTGTATGATGGTGTTGCACTTGGTTTTTGAAGCATTTCAGTGCGAATTCCACTAGTGTCTGGTGCTTTGCCGCCCTTGAGCTGCGAGATTGCTGCGGTGAGCTACGTCGGCGTGAAAGGTGGAATCTCAGGTGGCTTGTGCGCTGCGGTTGGCGTGGGGTCGGAAGACGTATACAACTGAGCGTAGTTAACAATTTGCAAGTGTTTTTGCTATCCCCTGCCTCGTTGTCTGCTTGCTGCCGTCGGCCCCCACCATCTATGTAATTCGAGTCCTCCTCCGCCGTGTTTTGATGGAGCGGACGTTTTGAGGCCCTTGTATTGCTCCAATATATTGCTGATTCGCTCCCTCCGGTGAGCGCGCTCCTGTCGTCGAAGGCTTTACAATATTTGTTTGCTGATTGCTCGTCGGGCATTGCTGTTTGCAGTAGGCGTGTTCTGTCGCTGCTTGACCAGGTCTTCGATGATGTCGTCGTGTTGCTGGTGCTTGGTGTCGTGGTTGGTGTTGGTCGTGGCTGCGCGTGCGGGCGCCGCCGCGGCGGCGGCTCCGTGATTTGTGGAGGTGCACAGGCTCTTCTCGATGATGAGGTTGGGCTCCTGCGGGTCTGTCGGAAGTGCCCCCGGTTGTATTGGAGATCCAAATGTCGTCGGTACTCGTCGAAGTCTACGCGTGCCCAATGTCCGCTGCAAGTGTCGGCCCGTGACGTGAGATGTCCTGGACGGCGTGTAGTTTGACCGTTCGGTAGAGTCGGGAAGCGAATGTGAAGAACTCTCTATCGAGGTCCTCGCCCGCCCCCCAGGGTGCGCGCTGCAAGCCACACCCCTTGCAAAGCACACTCTGCGGAGTCGCCGATAGCAGCACGACTGCGCGGACAGAGCGTCGGTCACCCCGTGGAAAAGGCCTTACGGCCGGTGCCGCCGACCCTGAAGGGAGACGACGGTGACAACGGCGGCGGCGGCGGCGGCGATGACGACGCTGACGTGGAGGTCCTCGCCCGACCCCCAGGCCCCCAGTGTGCGCGTTGCAAGCCACACCCGCAGACCCCCGACGTCATGTTTTTCACGACGCGACCCCCAGGGGTCCGGATCCGTTCCGCGGAACCAGTTCCTCCTCCCGGGGCGTTTTCTGACGGCCCCGACGCCCAGTGAGGGCCCCCCCGGGGCCGAAGATAGCGAAAACTGTCCGTCGTGGTTTTGCCCATGGCTCGAGGGCGTCTGGGACCCCTTGCAACGCGCACCCTCCCGAGTCGCCGACAGCAGCACGGCTGCACGGGCAGAGCAGCGGCCGCCGCCGCCCCCAGGCGCGCAGGGCGGCGCCGCGCTGCCGCCCCGCCATGGCGCTGAGCAGGGCGGCGCTCGCCGGGAGAGCCGCAGCCCGTGCTGTTTTTTGTCGGAGGGGTTGTCGCCCCCCCTGTTTTGGGGTTACTCCTCCCGCAGAGGGACAGGCCCGACTCCAGGCTGCTCTGGGTTTCTGAAGAAGCGTGGGGGGGTAAAACCCCCCGACGGGGGTCAACTTTGCCTCGTCGTCGCGCCCCGACGGGGGTCGGAGCGCCTTCGGCGCGCGGGGGTCGATGTGGGGCTGTCGGCGGGGGTGACGCCCCCGCAGGTGATCGTTTTTTTATTCAATGTTTTGCCGATCGGCGCGGGCCCTCGCCCCCCCCTCCCCCCCCCCCTAAGGAGTAGATCTTGGCTGTTTTTTGGGGCGCCTGTTTCGAGCAGGAGGAGTCTCCCCCGCAGGACGCGCCGTGGCAAACGGTGGCATTAAGCAGAGGTCCGGAGCCAGACCCCCCCCTCCCCACCTGAAACGCCGAAGTAAAACAAAAAACGCTTACGATATCGACTACACGCAAGAGTTGAGTCGGGCATGTCCCTCTACAGGAGGAATGTTCAAAAATAGTCATCAAGTTGGGGGACGATTGTTCTACAATGTTTGACCATGTTTGAATATTTGTTTGCTCGCATTTTCGTCCAACATCGCCTTTATAGTAGGACATGCCGGACTTAACGCAAGAGTACTCTGTGTCCCTCAATATAGCTCTGGGTCCACGGACTACAAGTACCCCCCTGGCTACAGATACCCCCTCCCCGAACCCCCGGACTACAGGACCTCCCCGGATTACAGGTACCCCCTCAGGACTGCATCCACGCGTGCGTTGACGCGTGAACACGCGTTCCCCCCCAGATTGCAGGTCCCCCCCCAGACTGCAGGTACCCTTCCCCTACAGGTACCCCACCCCGGACTACTGGTACCCCCCCCGGACTACAGGTACCCCTCCCCCGGACTACAGGTACCCTCCCCGGACTACAGGTACCCCCAACTAGTGAGACACACAGAGTAGGCAAGAGTGACCTTTGGTTCGCGGAATGGCGTCGTGGAGACGTAAGACCTGGATTCGGGGGACTCGTGTTGGCCCGACGGGGCCATCATGAAAATGACGAGGCCCAGTCTGAAATTTGACGCGAGCTCCAAGGCGAGCATCCCACGAAAACTTGACCGTCAATGTACAGGACGCGCTCGTCACAAAGCAGCAGCAAAGCCTCGTTCTGGCGTGCTCGAGTGTTTGGTTGTCGCAGCGGCGAGGGTCCTCACCGCGGCCCGGGGCCGGCCCTGGGATGCAGCGGGGCCGAGCCGGACACAGCATGTGGAGCGGAGGGGGAAAGGAAGCGCGGGGAAAGGGGGGGGGCACGTTGAGGGCGTGAAGTCCTTGAACGTGCGTGCTGGGAGCACGAGTGCTCTTTACTCCCCCTCCCTCTGTGTGCCCGCCCTCTTCCGTTTCCTTCTCTTGCACGCCTACCAATGAGCCATTCGGTCGCCCCGGATTGCCGCATGCCGGAGTGGACCGCCTCTGCCTCGCCGCCGACGGAAAAAAGTAGGCTGGGACACGTGCACGGCGAAGATGTGGAAATGATGCCAATGGCACGCCGCATTGGGGAGCCCATCCGCGTGCTGCTGCTGAGGGGGGCGCCAGGCATCCGGACGGAGACTGAGGGGTAGTGCCGAAGGACGGGCTCCCAGCGGCGGCGTGCCCTTGATCCTCTTCCTCCCTTCCGGTTCCGGGGAGGTCCTCCTCGTCCTCCTCCTCCTCCGCCTCCTCCTCCTCCTCCGCCTCCTCCGCCTTCCGTAGCCATTTTGGCTCAAGATGTTTGTGCCCCGTGGCAGAGCACGGAGACCCCTGGTCCGGGGACTGCTAGGACCGCTGCTTTCCGCCTTCGCCGTGCCCTCGGCGTTGAGCATCTCCATATCCTTCGCTGCTGAGACGCAGCTTACATATTTCTCGCCACCAGCGTTTGCCCTGCGCACGATAGCATCGCGATGGGTGTGCCTGGTGTTGCCAACTCCGCCGACTCCTGGGCCGACTCCCCCGACCAGGGCAAGGGCAAGGACACAGTTGCTGCCGATCCCTGGGCCGCTGGAGCTCAGAAGCTTGCCGCATTCGACCTCCCCGCACACCAGCGTAAGGTGCTCACCGATCTCCTCCAGACCTAGGTCGACAAAGCCGCCGCCGCCTTCGAAGCCACCTCCAAGCAAGTTGCAGCTGCCGCTCAAACGGAGTTCCTGGCCAACATCACGAAGATCACCGAACAGCTCAGCAACCGCCAGGAGTCTGCCGAGAGGGACATTACTGAACTCAAAGGCCATGCTGACCGTGCTGAACGCCTCCAAGGAGAACTCAAGGCTAGTGTGGACGCCCTCCAACAAGCACTTCGTCATGCCGAAGCTCTTCACCCAGCCATGGATTTGGACGCATTGGGGGCCTGGGACCGCCCGCCGAATGCTGCAACTTTCTGGTGTGGGGCTGCCTCTGAATTCTCCATCGCCTCACTCAAGGCTGCGCTCGCCTCCTGGTTCGAAGCTGCCGACGTGGGCATCAACGCGCTCCGCATCAACTCGGAGGGCCCTGCACGGAGGATTTCATTCACACTCACTGGCGGCAACTCGATTGCTCTCCCGCGGGCCCAAGCCCTTCATAGCGCACTTCGGCAAGGTCGTGAATGGCGTCGCTTCCAGGTGGAATCGGACTCTGGCCTCACTGCCCTCTACGTCTCCGCGGACAAGTCGCCGCGCATGGTACGTCAAGAAGTTCAACTCAAAAAGCTCAACAAGCTCATCGCCGACAAGTTCCCCATGCTCGAGACTCGGGTTCACCGCACTGGAGGCTTCCTGTCCATCAACGGCGCTCCCATCGTCCAGGTCACAGCTGGCGCTACTCCCGATGCCCCCACTCAAATTCGCTGGTCTGACGCTGCTGCCCCCGCTGGCATCCCTATCACCGAGCGCGAGCCATTGGCTACCGCGCTGGCTGCCGCGTTCGCCAACCCACTGGAGGCAGCGCGGTGGCTTTAGCATACGTTGGACGCCGTGGTTCACGAAACCGCACGTGGACGGCCTCAACTTGGTATCATGGAATGCGCAGGCGCTCAGTGGCAGATCGGCATCAAGACGGGCCTTCAAGCGACAGGTGTTGCTCCGTTACACGCGGCAACGAGCGGCCATCGCCATCCAAGAGACGCACGGCAACAGCATAGACATGGACCTCCTGGCCGCGAACTCCGAGCACAAGTACATCGCCTTCCACTCAGCGCTCGCGACTGACGGCCAGCCCTCGCAGACCGCAGGCGGGATCGCATTCTTGGTTCCCTTTGATCGAGCTGAACTCCAATTGCCTCCTGATCAACGGCCTCTACGCTCATTTCGCGCGATTGCCCCTGGTCGCACTGGTGAAATACGCGTTCAAGACGGGACAAGACAGCACGAGACAACAGTCATCAACATTCACAACTACGACCTCAGCGGATCTGACCGTCAGCGCTCCAAAGCTGCGTGGCAAGCAGCTGCTCAACGTTCAGCACTCCACCCAGACAACCACGACTACTACATGATTGGCGGCTTCAATATCGCCCAGACGCCGCCGAAGAGCCTGCTTCACCCCGCCGCGGACTCCACCGCCGAGCGTTACCACTACCAGCCTGTCTTTTGGAAGAACATCTTCTCACAGATGATGGAAATCACAGCGAAGGCCACCGCGCATCGATGCTCGACCAACGTGACGGAAGCGGCCATCGACAGGTGCTTCGCCTCGATCAACGCATCCAACATCCCGCGCATCGAGACGCTTCTCGTTGCCGATGGCCGACCGCTCGACCGAGAAGGGGGGCCCATCAGCGATCACAATATGCTACATCTACGGCTTCGACCTCGTCAGCCACGCCCAGTCAGCGAGCGCGGCATCCCTGCCTTCCTCTTCGAATCCAAGCACTACAAGTTCCACTGCAATCGCCTTGTCGAGACGGCCGACCTCTCAGCTGGCCCCATCTCAAACTGGAGGACAATGAAGCACATAATGAAGTTAGCGGCGCGCAAGGCTCGCGACGCCATCACCTCCGTCTCCGCCTCCGAGATCACGCCATTCGAGCGCCGAAATGAAGACCCGCAAGTCATAGCTGAGGCACGCGCACTTACACTACACAGCATTGCCAGGGCCGTCTGGTACCAGGACCTCGCACTTGCCCAGCGACTTCGGGAAGTCACCATGGATGGGGCACAGCACATCGACATTAGTCACCACAATATCTCGCTTGTCGACCGCATCGCATTCGAGACCGAGCACTCCGCCATGCAGCTCCAGATCGCTGAACAACGACGTCGGACCGCTGCTGCCCGCTCGCGAGCTGCTTACGCGGAACAACGACCCGACCTTGGTGAGCGATGGCGTCGTCAGGCTCGCCGCATTGGACATCGCAGCGAGATCTGGAAGCCATTCTCGAAGCGCTTGATTCTCGCAGGTGTCCGCGTCACCGACAGCAGAGGCCCTACTGTCGTCAACGACCCCATGGACATGCACACCGCTATTCAATCTCACTGGTCGAAGGTGTTTGCTGCCAAACATGTTGACGTCCCAGCAATGAAGCAGTATTTGGACACGGTCTTCCCACCAATGCCTCTACGCCACTTGCCCCTACCTGGAATTGAAGAACTCCAAGCGGCTGCTAAACTTGCCAGTAACTCGGCTCCTGGACCTGACGGATTGCCATATCGAGCATGGGTACGATCAGACGGCAGCATCGAGACCCTCCACGCACTTCTCCACTCCATTGCTCACGGTGGCCCGATCCCCCACGACCTGAACTACGCGCTCATGGCCATGCTTCCGAAGGGTGACGAGCCCATGGGCAACTGCGAGTGTTCTCGCAGTCCTGATTGTCTTCGCCCACTCGCCATGAAGAACAGTGACATCAAGATCATCGCCTCAGCGACGAATCGCATCCTCAGCTCCGTGGCGTCGAACACCGAGGAAGAACAACAAGGCTTTGTCAATGGCCGTCAATTTCTCTCCAACATCGTCAAGGTGGACGCCATCGCCCGTATCACCAGCATCAACGGCGATGCCTCCAACATGATGCCCTGCTTCGCCAGCATGGACATTGCCGCAGCGTTTCCGAGCCTCACGCACGCGTGGTTGTGGGATTTTCTTAGGAGGTGGGGCATCCACGGCGTCTTTCTTAACCTTCTGCAGTGCTGCTACAACATGCCACTTGCCTTCCTCGACCTAGGTGGTACTCGTCGACCGCTACTTCTAGCAGAATCTGGGGTTGCTCAAGGATGCCCATTGAGCGGCGCGCTCTGGGCGCTGGTCTTCGACCCCATCATCAAGGGCCTCAAAATGGAGCTTACTACTCTGGGTAGAGGCCTGCTCAGCGCTTGCGCCGGTGACCTGGGTATCGTTCTGGCTGCACTGCGGGATCTCGGCTCCCTCCTACCACACCTACAAGCTGCGCAACATTACGCTGGTCTCCGCCTCCAACCGAAGAAATGCGTCCTCGTGCCCACCTGGCCCCTGCCAACGCCCGAGATCACCGCGAGCACGCGTGCAATCCTGACCCAGATCTACGAGCCGTGGCAAGAATTCTCCATCAACAGCTTTGCGCGCTACCTCGGCGTGCACATCGGCCCCGGCGCTTCTCTCGAACGTCAATGGCAAGGGCCTGCCAACAAGTGGTGGGAGCGCATCCAGATCCTGTGCGACTCCAACGCCCCCATCCAGCAGTGCATCAAGATGTACAACTCCGCTGCCATCACATGCCTCTCGTACGTCGGCCAGCTCTACCCACCCTCTCCAGCATTCTTGTCCAAGGAGATTCACGGGCTCCACAAGCTGATCCGTGCTGCCCCCTCCAGTTTCTCAAAGATGGACATCTTGTCGTTCACGCTATGGGCGTCTGCCACGATCCCACAGGGTATTGAAACGCTACTCGCAGCAACGATGTGGCGCGCCTCCACGACCACCATCTCTGGATGGCAGCCTCTGCTTCACGCACTCCGTGCTCATGCTGAAGAACATCTCCCGCTACGAGAAGTAGTAGTTGGCAAATGGTCTGCGTCATGCTGGATTGACTACACTTCCATCGTGCAGCGATTCGACGACATCGTTCACAATAAGTTGATCGCGACAGGCAAAGGGTCCATCTTCAAGATTCTCACGCGGTCCACAGGATCTACGACGAATGCCGCCCATATACTTCAGCGAGTACATGCGCAAGCTGCTGCTGCTGGACGACATGCCATCATGGCCTCTCGCCGTAACAAGGCGGAGGATCTGCATTCACACAGCCGTGACAGGGCTGGTACCAACCAGGCAACACGCTGTGGCAGGGCGGGTGACCTTCACACGCCCAGCCGTGACAGGGTTGGCGGACATCATCAGAGACAGGCAGGTGTCAAAGCTCCGACTGACGCCACTTCGAGTACCACTTCAAGTACCTCTCCACAGCAAGCATACCTGCGGGAACTACAACGCCAGCTGTACCGCGACTACTTCCACAAGACCATCCATCACCGTCTCCGCGCCTGGCTCCCACTACTTCCTGCTGACAATGGAGAGCGGATGGCACCTGCTACGACCGAGCAATCTGCTGGGAACGATGATCACGACTCCATGAAGTGCCTGAACGAGCGCGCAGAAGCATGGGCAGCAAGATGGATCCCCAGCGTATTTTTCGGCCGCGACATGGACAACTTCAACGACTGGATGGACTGGTGCGTCCCATACATCACAGCTGTACTACATCGCACCCAATTCAATGCGCACTTCTGCATTGATGACCAGTACGCGTCTGCCAACGCTCGCCGTGACATGGCGACGGAGATATGTTACAGTGCATGGCATCGAGCTGAACACCCTCGCAATCACCGCCTGCAGATCTACTCCTCCGAGCGCATGCCGACCAACACCCGTCGAGTATTTGCTGATGAAGCTGCTGAACACCGCGCCCGCCGTCGCTGGATCGAACGGGAGCGAGACACCAACCTGAACCTCCCGCAAGAAGAAGACGGCACTCAATCTACAACTACGGCTACTTCAACGCTTCACATCCACTCAGTGAATGACATCATGATGGATTCTGGTACATCCGACCGTGATGGGCTCCTTGGTCGCGCTGCTCTCCCTGCTAGCGTTGAACACGGCTGGCGTGACCTGAGGCCGCACCTGGCGAACTCCACGGCATCGATTTTCTGGCCTGCGGTCAAGACCTTGCCAGGCGCGTGGACGACCTCACACCGCATGCACGTCAACCCACACAAGAAGAACTGCCTATTCGGCTGCGACAAAGACTCGCAGACCAAGTACACGGACGACATCAGCCACTACATTTCGCGCCCGCGATTGCGGGCGCTATTGGCTCAACCTCGGGCCTCAACAAGAGCAACAACATTGACGACCATCCGAAGCACACCATCACACGCATTGCGGTCGCCTTCCGCACATACAACATCCTGCGGGCGCGCTCCGAGACGAGCCTGCCCGCCATCATCGACGAGCTCAAGTACCACAAGGAGGTGATCGCTGCCACCAGACGCGTCCTGAGGTTGCCACGGTGCCTCGTAGGCGGCGCGGGGCCGCTTCGCCGCTAACCCGCGGACACGCGCACCCTTCTGCGCGTCGTTCGCTCCGCCTCCTCCTCCTCCTCGTCCTCCTCCTCCTCCTCATCCTCATCCTTCTCCTCCTCCTCCTCCTCCGCCTCCTCCTCCTCCGCCCTCTCCTCCTCCTTCTCCTCCTCCTCCGCCTCCTCCTCTTTCGCCTCCTCCTCCTCCTCCGTATCTTCCTCCTCCTCCTCTTCCTTCTCCTCCTCCTGCTCCTCCTCCTCCTCCTCCTCCTCCTCCTCTTCCCCCTCCTCCTCCCCCTCCCCCCCAACGCGTCATTGTCGTCGTCGCCGTAGGTCTCAAGGGGGTCGCCAGAGGTCTCCCTAGAGGCCTGCGGCCTGTGAAAGCTTCCGGAGGCCGAGGCGGGCCCAGGAGCCTCGATCCTCGCGAGCCTCGCGCCTCGAGCCTCGACGGGAATCCTCGCCGAGGCTCGGGGAAATCAGGCACACCTCGACTTATGCTGTTCCCATCATACTGAAGGACCACGTCCCATAAACAATTTCGAGCACCCCGACAAGAATCGAAACGGTGTCTGCCCAACACGCTGGCGAGGTGCCGACCGAACGAGCATCGCTCCAGGGCCTGACACATGAAGCCCGTGCAGTTGCCATACTTCCCGGTACTCGAAATTCTCTATGGAATCCAGGCAAAAGTAGGTTGGAGCATCATGAACCTCCACCCCCCCTTGGCCTCCCTCGGAGGCTAGGCCAGAAAGAGGCGCAGCCCGATTGAGGATGTCTCGCAGCAGTGGCACGAAGAGTATACACCCTTGTGGGGAAGGGGGCCCATGGTAGGGGTGGGGGTGCTCGTTTGCTCCCCGACGAGGTGTTGAATCGAAGGCCTCGCGAGGGTCGAGAATTACAGAGCTTGGCCCCGGCAGGAGGGCGCGCGCCAGGCTCGCGCCGAGCCTGCGGCTGTATGAGGATGCCCTCGACAGGCGCCCTCTCGCGACGAAGGTCCTCACCGCCCTCGGCCTAGGCGCCGGCGAGGGGGGGGGAGGCAGTGAGCGTCATCCTCATCCTGCCCGTCCTCCTCGTCTTCATCCACTCCTCCTGCGCCACATCCCTGAGATCCCGGCGTTGCAACGTTTTCGAACCAGCGGTTTCGCTCAGTTTTGGCGGCTCGAAAATTGACGCAGAGAGATCGAGTTCAGGGTCTAGGGCTCCAGGCGTGATTTTTGCGATGCTGTGTTTTTTCGCCACGTCGGGTTTCAGGGATTCTCCTCATCCTCATCCTTCCTGTACGCCTTCCCGTCCTCCTCCACCTCCTCCTCCTCCGCCCCGACCTCCTCCTCCTCCTCCTCCTCCTCCTCCTCCTCCTCCTCCTCCTCCTCCTCCTCCTCCTCCTCCTCCTCCTCCTCCTCCTCCTCCTCCTCCTCCTCCTCCTCCTCCTCCTCTTCCTCCTCCACCTCCTCCGGCGGCGGACGTGTGTTGCCGCGCCGCCCGGAGCACAGTGATCGAGAGCCAGCAGACACCTCCGCCGTCCTCCCCTCAGAGAGGGCGGCCCCCCCGGGGGTGGTCAGCCGTCTGAGACGGCGGCCACTCCAAGTAGGGTGGGGTCTGCAGGCCAGGGCCTGTAGACTCCGTTGCCTGGGAGCGCGAGCGGCATATCGCGAGCAAGACGTGGTCGGCCCCTCTGCGCCCGCCGCCGCCGCCTGGCGCCGCCCGCCGCCGCCTGTCCCAGCCAGCGGCGCTCCAAGGCAGCGCCCGCAGCCCCGCGGCGCGGCGTCGCCGCCGTTGCGCGCCCTCCTCCAGCCCTCCCCCGCGCCGCCAGCCTCCGCCACGGTACTGTACCCCGCCGGCGTCGCCCCGCGGCTCCCGGCGCCTCGCGCTGGCGCCCGCGCTGAGCGCTCGCCCGCGCGCGCTCAGCGCAGCCGGCCGCGAGCCAGAGCTGCTGCGCCAGCTCGCGCTGAAGGGCGCATCTGCGCAGCTGCGCAGGCGCGCGCCAGCTCCTCGGGTTGCGCGTCCTCCTGGAGCTCCCCGGCGTGTCTGAGCAGGCAGGCCCCAGCCTCGCCTCCCATGCGGCCCCCAGCCTCCATGGCGAAGCCGCCGTCGGGCACTCGCTCGGGCAGCGCGCCTGCTTGGCGCGCTCGGCCTGGCGCGCCGCCTCGCCGGGGCGCCTGGCCGGCCTGCGAACGGCGGGTTCGTCGTCGGCCGCCGAGTGGCGGACGGCCACGTGCACACACCGCCTGCCGTCGCTGTCGTCGTCCGCGACGTCCAGGACGGCTCGTTCTGGGAGACCGCGGGCCGTCCTGGCCGGGGCGCGCGGGCCCGGTCCCAGGTGGGCGCTCGCTGCCCGCAGAGCGGCGCGCAGTGGCTCCACCCTCCAACGAGGCCGCCCGCGGCACGCGCCACTCCGTTGTGCCGCTTGACGGCGCCTCCTCCTCCTCCTCCTCCTCCTCCTCCTCCTCCTCCTCCTCCTCCTCCTCCCTCTCCTCCTCCTCCTCCTCCTCCTCCTCATCCTCATCCTCCTCCTCCATGCTCCTTCTCCTCCTCCTCCTCCTCCTCCTCCTCCTCCTCCTCCTCCATGCTCCTTCCACTCCTCATCCCCCTCCTCCATGCTCCTCCTTCTCCTCCTCCTCCTCCTCCTCCTCCTCCTCCTCCTCCTCATCCTCATCCTCCTCGTCCTCGCGCTTCCACTCGCAGGGTGGGCCCTTTCTGAAATCCATGTTGGTGCGGATCGTAACAGAAGCGCGCCTCGTCTCCATCGTCGTCGTCGTTGTCGTCGTGGTCGTGGTGTGCGCTCTGCTCGGACCGTGGCCCTCACGCAGTGGCCACCATCTCCTCCTCCTCCTCCTCCTCCTCCTCCTCCTCCTCCTCCTCCTGATCCTGATCCTCGTCCTCCCTCCCCCGCTCCTCCTCCTCCTCCTCTCTTCCTCTTCCTCGTCATTTTCGGCCTGATCCTCCCTCCTCCCCCTCATGCTTCCCGTCATCCTCCTTCTCTTCCCCCTCCTTCTCCTTGTCCTCCTCATCGTCCTCCTCATCGCCGTACTCCCTGTCCATGCGCAACGAAGGTTGTCGCCGTCTCGATTTTGGCGTGGGGGTGTGGAGCAGTGACCTTGCGGGGGTGTCCATCCGGCTTCAGCTGTCACGGAAAAATTCGAGACGGCAGATGTTCCCTTCAATCCGGGGCTGTGGGGCTTATTCGGGCACAGGGGCCCCAGAGTTTTGGTGGCCGCGTATTCACACGAACCTGGCGCGACCCCCAGTAGGGGACAGTTTCCTACGCAAGTAATTAAGCAAGGAAGAGTGTGAGTTTGGAAGAAAAAGTGCCGGTGCGTTTTTCGGCATTGTTTGATATTGTGTGAATTTGAATTGATTTGCACGACATTGGTTGGATTGCATTGTTTGACCGTCTTTGGCATCAGTCTGCATTGTTTGGCATTGTTTGGCGTTGCCTTGCCTTGCTTTGCACAGCATTGCTTGGCATTGCTTGGCATTGCATTGCCTGGCAGTGCTTGGAATTGCTCAGCTTTCGCCCAAGGATTTCAAGCGAGGAACACCGACGAGGAACCCCAAGGAGCCCCACCCGAGGAACCCCAGAGAATGCTTCGAGGAGCCCAAGCAGGAAGCCCAGACCAGGGAGTCCCAGGGAATGCCCCTGACGAAGGACGTCGAACGCACAGGAAGTTTCTTTCGAGGAAGAAAAAACGGCATCAGCATAAACTTTTGGCGCTCCGCGCGGATTTTTTTGTTCCACGTTGGGCCCCCCCCCCCTTCGGCGCCTCAGGCACCGCCCCTGGCGCGCTCCGCGGGCTGGGGAAGGGGTCCAGCGCAGATCCAAGAAATCCACGCGGAGCGCCAAAAGTTCATTACAATGCCGCTCCTTCTTCATCTAGGAATGCCTCTGACGAAGGACGCCTAACTCACAAGCAGTTTCTCCACAATCGAGTAGGAACCTTTTTGGCAGAGCTTGATTGGGCAAACCATGGCACGATGCCAGAGCTCTGGGACCACGTCGGGGTGCCCAGGGGGAGCGGCGGTGGTTCGGTCTGGAAGGCCACTCCGCCGCGAGGCGCCGTTGCTCGGCCATGGCTTCCCAGATGAGCGACGCAGGAAAACGGGGTCGTCTTCGCCGACATTGACGCGTAAGCTGCCCGCGTAAGGTCGCGCGTAAGCGCCCTCGTCTCCATTGTGGCTGGCCGCGCTGGTGGCCCGCGTAAGCCACCGCGAACGGTCTCTGTGCCATCTCGCGTAAGACCCGCCCCTTCGGACGACAACAGAACGACCACCCCAAAAGAACCCCCCCCATGGGGGCTGAGCAGGCACCTCCCTGGACGGCCCCAGCTCGGCACGGCCTGAGTCTTGAGTCGTTCATGTCCTTCTACAGGTGGAATGCTCAAGAATAGTAACAAATAGTCTGATGACGATTGTCCATGCCCTTTGACGATGTATGATTTGTTCTTGATCCTTTTTCATTTGTCTTCCAGAACCCGCCTGTGTGAGGACATGCCGCAGTAAGTTGCAGCAGGCCTCGAGAGGCGCCCGTGCCTGGCTCGCCCGGGTCTGCCCCGCCAGAGGGGAACGGGCCCCGATATATTCTCGGCTGCACGGAAGAGCGACCCGTCGCCGGAGTGGCCCCTGGTGCGGTCCCAGTGGGCCCCCCGATCGTTGAATGTGATGCGAGGGCAGCGGCTTGCGCGCCTGGTGGTGTCCCCCCTAAGTCGGAAACTGGAGCATATACCTTACCAGTGGCGGGCTGCTTCTCAATCCCAGGACTTTTGGAAGGTCAGGGACGACGTCGGGGTGGTGTGGGGTATACTTTTTCCCAGTTTTCCGGAGGAAACGACGAAACATGTAACTATACACCAGGATCCCGTTTTCACCCGGATCCGCTGAGTTTGATCGCTGAATGTGATCGTTGATTGTGATGCGAGGGCTTATGATGTTCCGACCCACTTTAGCCTTGATCACCAGAAATAGTTTCGAGCTCCAGGAAGGTACCACAACTGGAGGGTTTTCACGTGTCGGGCCCTGGGAGGCGACACTTCGCTGGCGTGTCGGGCAGACACTGTTTCGATACTTTTCAGGTGCTCGAAATTACTTCCGGGATGTAGTCCTTAAGTGCGATGGGAACAACACAGTTTAAGGGCAGCGATTTGCGCGCCTTGGGCCGCGCATCAAAGGTCACTCATAGCGTGCGGCCGATACTCGGAACGTTGCCCGGGAGCACTCGCAGATCTGGTTGCGTCGTGCAGGGATGGAGGGGGGGGGGGGGGCCCACCTCTGTCGCGTGCTTCCGCTGTGCCCATCATGGCAGAGTGGAGCGCGTCCGAAGGGGTATCAGACCCGCAGGTGCGCTGGGCGACGGTGTGGCCCAGGGGCTCGCTGGCAAGAAGTACGACGCGCAGCGGCAGGCGGCCTTCGCGAGCTTCTGCGGACTCCGGCAAGTGCCAAGCGGGGTGGGGTGCGAAGCTGGTGCCGAGTTTTGTGCACCAGGCGGGCGCAATGGCGCTCGGAGGAACCATGGCCTGGCCCAGTGCCCTGGCCGTTGCTGCGTGGGCGTCGGCCCGAAGCTGTGCCCCGAGAGAGGGCGTGATCCCCAACTCGCCCATCTTCGACTAGGCGTGAGAGTGACCCTTCCCCAGACCCCCGACGCCGTGATTTTTGTCACAACGTCGACCCTCAGAGGTCTGGACCCCTTCCTGGGAATCGGTGTTTCATCCTGAGTCGTTTTTTGACAGTCCCGATGCCCGGGAAGGGCCCCCCGAGGCCGAAAATAGTGAGGAGGTCTGGGTCCCCAATTCGCCCATCTCGCGTCGGCGGGGGGCGGCACACGGCCGCCACTACCGTTCTCGTCCCCCGTCGCGCCACCCCCCCTGGTTGGGCGCCCTCTCGCACGTCTCGGCGGGGGTGTCCCCGCACGGGGTCTCTGGTCCGACGAAGGCGTCTGTACACCACCACCACCGTGCCAGGCCAGGGCCACTCTGGGCCCCATGACCCCTCAGGATGGTGTATAGACCCTCCTGGCCTCGTCCAGGAGGGCGTATACACCATGCCAGGGCCAGGATAGCCCCTGCTTGGCACGGTGGAGGTGTATGGATGCCTTCTGTATATCTGGGGGCCCCCGCGGGAGCAGCTTGCAGGGGCTCTGCCTGTGGCGCTTCGAGGGGCGCTCCCACACTCTGGGCCTCCCAGATGGGGTCCGACGGGATGAGGTTGGAGGATCACGCCGCATCACTGATGCATCGGCGATGCAGCTCGATGCGTAGCCCGATTTTCTCCACGCCGACGTCGCCCATGCATCGTCGATGTATCCGAGGGGCGCTCCCACACCTGTGGGAAGCCTCGAGGATTGCCCTGCGAAGCCCGGGAGACCTCGCTTGGTTTCAGAACCTTGGCCTGTGCCAGCCTTAGTGGTAGCAACGCGGGGACCATGGAGGGCCGATTCATCGTCAAACTGCCGTGGTGCTGGCCACAGTCCCAGCTCAGAGAGAGAGGTGATCACTTCTGCCCGGTCATTGTCCACGCTTCCAGCTCAGAATGGTCGGGGGCGCGGCCAAGAAGGGCTTGATTACAAGGGATGGGAATGTCATGCCCGGAGCCATGAACTCTCACCGTTACTCCTGGTTCCCGCCCTCTTCTTTCAACATGTCCCTGGGTCCCCTCCTCGTCTGCGCACATGCTCCGGGCCATGATTTTCGGCTACGCGTAAGAGTGACCCTTCGCTGGAGTGCTTTTGAGTGCAGGCCCACAGGGGTCCCTCCATCATGTGCTGGCACGCTTCGATTTGGACTCCCGTAGCATGCCAAATCCGCGCACCGAAGCTCACTCTTGCCCAGGGTCGCTCTTGCGTGTTGTCGAGATTTGCGAACCGCCTCCTGGACGCCCGCCTCTTGGGCGGAGCGCTCGCCTCCGCGCCAGACAGGCGGATTGGCCCCTCGGAAGCCGAAGGGAGCAGCCTCTATACCCATCTGGGGAGGCCAATCGGCCCGTGGGGCCAAGGCCACGCCAGTGGGGATAAGGGGTCGGTCGAACGATGTGGTCGTGGACGCCCCCCCCCTGTGGCGCGCCCGAGAAATGGAGCACGCTCAGCGCCAGACGGCGGGCTCCGGGTGAGGTCGGCGTGCTCTTGCCTCGGCGTGAGGTGGCGGTGGTCTCGCCGCCAGGTGCCTGCCGCAGTTCCCAGGTCCTGGTGGCGCCGTCGCCCCAGCGCCTGCGACTCGCCTGGCTTCCCGCGGAAGTCTCGCCCAAGCTCGGCGGTGAGCGAGGGGGGGAAGCGAGAAGGAGGGGGGGCCTTCCCAGAGGGCGGCGGGGCCTTCTGAGAAGGCCCGCCCCCTCCCACTTCACCCCTGGGCGCGCCTCCGACAAGTGCTTGCCTCATTCCTGAAGGTCAAACGGCGCTCTCGCCTCGGCTCCGGCCAAACATTGCTTGTCCTGAGCGGCACCCTCACCTCAGCACAATGAACACTCCCAGCCCAGAATGGTGCTCTCTCTCTCTCTCTCGTTTTGCCACGTTCCTATCTCGAGTTTGCGCTTCTTTTTTGAAACGTACGAGTGCTGGCCACCCTGCCTCTGTGCCAGCCCGGGGCGCTGGCCACTTCGCGTTGTCACCTCGGTTCCCAGCTCAAAAGACTCGCCTGAGCGCAGGTTGCATAGCGAGCTCAGGCTCCGAGCGATTCGATTCAAAAGAATCGGTTCCAGCGAGTCGATTTTCCGGGCGAGCAGATTGGGCCGAGCAAATCGACCCAAATCGAATGATGGGTTGTGCACATGGATCGAGCGCATCGCCTCGATCGAACTGATTCAAGAGAGAGCCAGTCGGCGAGCGAAAACAAATGGGACTGGATGGTCGGACGGTGGGCCAGCGGGCTTGTCAGCACAAATGTCGCGTTCGCTGATTCCGTGTCGACAGATTCGCCATTGTTGACGCTTCGCGTATCCCCACAGACCCATGTAGCAGCGATACCCGGGCGAGCTGCCACGGGCGAAGGAGCTTGCCATCGTTTGGATCAATGCATTGCCCGTGTGGCCAGAAGCCCAGCGTGTGCTTCTTCGGGGTCTCATGCATGGGGTGTCTCCTTGGGGGCCTCCTAGAGGCATCTTTAGGGGAACGAGCAATGACATAAACATAAAACCTCGGAGGTCCGCGCGGATTTCTCGGATCGGCGCTGGAACACCCTGGCGGCGCCTCCGGCGCCGCCCCTGGCGCGCTCCGCGCGCCAGGGAGGAGGGTCCAGCGCCGATCCGAGAAATCCACGCGGGCCTCCGAATAGTTATGTTTGTGTAATGCTTCTTCCCCCTGGTTTTGGGGCGTCCTGAGGGCCTCTTGCTGGCTCATGTGGGGCATAATGGAGAACCTTGGGTGCTCGTGAACCCCTCTTGAAGCTACTTTGGGAGCGTTTGGGGCGATCTTGGGGCGCTCTTGGGAGCCTCGGAGGCCTTCTTGGCACCATCTTGGAGGGCATCGATCGAAGAAGGGTGTGTCCCTTAACAGTGTTGGCCCTCTGGAGCCTCCGAAATTGCCTCTTAGGGCAGTCTTGGGGCGCTCTTGGGCTCTTCTAGAGCCGTCGTGGGACCCTATTGGGCGCATCGTGGTACCCTCTTGGGCAATCTTGGAGCCATCTCGAGGCCTCATAAGCCCATCGGAAGCGAAAAGGCGGGAAGGCAACAATCATTGATTACCCGTAGGCTTTGAAATTATGCTGGCCTCTCGGGGGGGTCCCTGGGGTTCCGTGGCCACCTGAAGACATCTTGGGAGGGTTTTGGGGGCTCTTGGAGCATGTTGGAGCCTATCTTGAGAGATTTTGGGGCACATTGACCCATCTTGGAGACCATCTCGGGCTATCTGGGGCCCTCGTGGAGCCATCTTGGGCCATCTTGGACGCTCTGACAGCTCGCGGGGCGCCCCGTCCAGACCCAGGGGGAGGGGGGTGGGGGAGGGGTCAAGCTACCTCCCGTCTCGCTCACTCCCACCCGCACGTCCACCACATAAGTAGCACCCGAGTCTCAGCGTGGGCAGGGGGCAGCGTCGACGACTGTCGGAAACCAATGCAGACGCCAGCCAGGTGCGCGACGCCCGCGAGGTGCGCCGCGCATGCCAGGGCACCCCCATCACCCCTGTCAAGTAACAAGGCTTAAGTCGGGCGTGTCCCTCTACAGGAGGAAAATTAAAACATAGTCAAAGCATAATCAGGGGACGATGTTCGACTATGTTGGACTATTTTTCAGGTTATCGTCCAACGTCGGCCCGCAGAGGGACATGCCCGACCTAACGCAAGGCAAACTGATCGCGGGGCGCCCGCACATGATGTTCCAAGGTGTTGCCGCAACGTGCACTCTGCGCTGGCGTTTGGCAAGGGTGGTGCTCCCGCGCGCAGCGGGCAATACGCTGTCCCCCCCAAGGAGGGGAGGGACGAGGGGGAGGGGGAGGGGGAGGAGGAGGAGGAGGAGGAGGAGGACGAGGAGGAGGAGGAGGAGGAGAATCAGGTCCTTGGCTTTCTCCTGCCCTCCCCTCGTCTCTGCCCCCCCAAAAAATTAAAGTGATCTCGAGGCGCCCAAATCAAACCCACATTTTGCCGCAACTTGACTTTGTATGGTGTTTAACAAGGACAGCGTGCGGGGTGTTGGCATTGTTCCTGGTTCGTCGCCGGTCGGGTGGAGGAGGTGAGGTTTTTCAAAGTAAATATACAGATCAACCCTTCCCTGGAGGAGAATCAGGGGGTTGGAAGACGAAACGCTCAAAACCGCTTACGCGCCTAATGGGCTGGTGGGATTTCTGGACACCGTCCAAGGCGAACGGCCAAGTCCAGGGATCTTGACCACTTCCCCAGGACTGGTTGTTCATCATAAGTTGTGTTTGATGGTCACGTGGCCACGAAATTGACTCAAGAGGCCGCACATGTCGAAATTGGCCGTCAGTTTTTTTTGCGATGCCCAGTTGTGAGGGGGAACCTTTCTGAAGCAGCCCCGAAGGACTCTACACTGGAGGCTTCCAGCACTTCTGGTTTGCAGCTCTCACGCGCGCCTGGCCAATCCCACCAGGCTCGGGTGGGGTGAGCGCAATGGCGCTCCCGATAGCGTCCCGCGCATAGATTCATGGCTCCGATCGATCAAAAAGACGGGAAGCATAAGCTTTCGGACGTCTTCGAGGATTTCCCTCCCCTCGCGCAAAGCGCGGCAGCTGCGGTGCTCGAGGCACCGCCAGGGAATTCCAGCGCCGACCCATGAAATCTATGCGGGTATCCGAAGGTTCATGCTTATGTCGTTCGCGAGTGTTCTTCTACCGGAGGGGTGGCAGTGAAATTGGCCGTGATTGTCAACCGCATCCTTCGATCTGGAGGTTCTTTGGCCCACTTGTCGCGAGTCTGGCGGTTAGCCTGATCACGATTGATCGCGACTGCCCTGGCATGGAAAGCACACGACGCTACTGGCTCAATCTGCGAGAAGCATGGCACACAAAAACAACGGCTGGAAATCGAACGACTAGTGCAGCAGAGGTCCCGCATAGTGGCGAACCAGTTCTTCGTGGTCCCGTGCCTCTACCTGCCAGCATTCTTCGTGTCGATGGAGGTCTTGTCAGGGCGATGCTGGTCAGATGGCCTGGAGAGGTTCGGCGGCGAGCGAGGGGAGGAAATGAAAAGGAGAAGGCTTTCTCAGAAGGCGGCGGGACTTCTCAGAAGCCCGCGCGCCTTCTGATCAGTTTTCTCTGTCTTCGGGGAAGGCTCAGAAAACGTCTCACAAGGACAGAGGACTTCCGAGCCTTCTGCGGAGGCCCGCCTTTTCTCACTTCCCCCCCCCGTGCTCGCCGCCAAGAGGTGGCGGGAGCGCGGATGGGATACGATGAAGGTGAATTGGCTTTTTTGGCTGCCAGCCCAGATTTTCCAGTTCGCTTGGGTGCCGTGCAAGATGCACGTTGCGTTCGTGTCCAGCGTTGGCCTCTGCTGGCAGACCATATTGAGTCTTACCACCAGTCCGGAGTCATGCAGGGCTGAACCTAAACGTTGTTTTGTTGGATTCTGGCTGTGTGTTTTTTTTCTCTGTGGGGGGGAGGTGCAGGAAAACAGGTAGGGCAAAACGCAACACAAAACGAAACCAAAACGAAAAACAACGTTTAGGTCCAGCCCTGGAGTCATGTGCATGTTGAAATGACAGTAGGTCATAGTTTTCCGCCCCAGATGTGTCCCTCTTGTTTTGTCTAGTGACAGGGGGTACTCGACTGGCGCGCGCCCATCGTCACTTTGTGAGCGCAGTTCAAAAGGAATCGTGCACCGTGCGGGTGAGCGATCTCCTATGTTTTCTCCTATGTACAGGCGTTGCCGTTGATCGAGCGCGCATACGTTTGATCAAGCACGCGTGCAACATTCCGACAGCTTTAGCAGGGAATGTGTCCATGCCCCCATGCCCATGGTTTGACTCAGAACTCATCCAGGTTCCCACGCCTGCTTGCCCTTCCCATGCGGAACTCCATTACAGCCTTTGCGAGCTAGTCGCAGCCGCCGGTGAAATGGAGGTATGGTCGGGGAGCGAGAGTCTAAAGCTTTTGCCACAGTCCTGATTCTTCCCGTATCACCACTAGCACATCCAGAAACGATTCCCAGGCGAGTTGCGGGGAGAAGGACATAACATAAACATATTCTGAAACAGGGGGGCAACAAGGATGAGCCTAGAGATCTCGTAGATTCTCTCGAGGCTCTCTTGGAACTCCCGAGGCGGGGGGGATACGAAGAGGAGAAGGGGCGGGAGGAAGGGGAGAGCGGGGGGGGCGAAATGGTGACGGACGGGTGGACTGGGGGGGGCGCGGGGGGAGGGAGGAGGAAGGGGAGGGAAAACGAGTGGGAGGGGGGTGGGGTCTAGTGAAGAGAGAAGGGGGAGGGGTCAAGCTCCCAACGAAATGCCACAAGGTGTCTCTCTCATTCCCGCTCGCCCTCCCGCCCATGTGTAAGTGTATCACCCGAGACTCCGCACAGGTGGAGGTCGCCATCGGAAGCACAGCCACCATGAATCACCGCCGACGCCAGAAGCGCGCGACGCTCGAGAGTTGCGCACCACGCCTGCCAGGTGCGCCGTGCGCGCCTGGTGTGCCAGCTGCGCATCTTGCCCTGCGCGTGCCGCGTGTGCTTCCGCCGCGGCAGGGTGCGCGACGCGCGAAGAGTGCGCCGGGCACGACTAGGTACGCCCGTGCACGCGACAGCGCGACAGCACACACCGGGCAGAACGACGTGTGCCTCCTCCTCCTCCTCCTCCTCCTCCTCCTCCTCCTCCTCCTCCTCCCCTTCCTCCTCCTCTTCCTCTTCCTCTTACTCCTCCTCCTCCTCCTCCTCCTCCTCCTCTTCCTCCTCCTCCTCTTCCCATCATCCGTGTCACGACCAGCGTGAAGTGGCGGCGGGGTGGTCAGCACGGTTTTTGTTGTGTGTTCGCGGAGTAAGTTTGCTTTCGTTCTTGGTGCGGATCGTGGGCGAGCGCACAGCGCACGCTCCCCTTGCCATCACTGCTCAAATCCAATGCTGAGTGATCGCGGGGTGCCCACTGATGATCCAGATGTTGCCGCCACTTGCGCTTTGTAGTGTTCCCAACCCTCCCTTGGTTGGGTCATCGTTTTGAATCGAGCATTGGGGTGCCAACTCCCTTCTCCTCCTCCTCCTCCTCCTCCTCCTTCTCCCACCCTCTGTCCCCCTCTCGCCTGCCTGCACCTGCCTGCACCTTCTTGCTGAGTGACCGCACAGTGGGGCCACACGCAGACCCAAACGGGACCTCGCAATCCTTGGGGACTGCGAGGTGCGAGACTGTCGCCACGTTCGAGGGCTGCTAGGGGAGCTCGCACAGTGGGGCCCCACGCAGACCCAAACGGGACCTCGCCATCCCTTCGGGGCTGCAAAATGTGAAAATGTCGCCACTTTCGAGGGCTTGTGGGGGAGCCCGCGCACTGGGGCCCCACGCAGACCCGAACGGGACCTCGCCATCCCTGGGGTGCTGCGACGTCTGAAACTGGCGCCACTTTCGAAGGCTGCTGGGGGAGCCCGCGCGCTGGGGCCCCGCGCACACCCAAACGGGACCTCGCCGGGGAGCTGCAAGGGGTTAGGACAATCGCCTGTTCGCGGGATGTGGCAGGCGTATTTGGAACCGCCCTTGGACCTGCGCACTGGATAGGCACAACATCTAAACGGAAAGGATCGGTAGCAGAAAGTCAGCAGGCTTAAATGGAATCCGCACGTTCTGATTCACCACACTCCTGCGCAGCCGTGGACGGCTTCTCTGCGCCGCGAAAACAAAAGCTGAAGAAGCACGCCGCCCAAGTAGCGCTTGAGACCTCGAATCGGACTTCGACATGTCGGCCCGTCCTCAAACCATACTACGCCAATGTAGTGTTGTCATGTTGCCCTCGAGTTTCCGTTTGACTGAGGCACCCGGTCTTGAAGGTTTGCCGACGCCGATATGCGATGTCATGTTTGGATGCGCAGTGCTGTATACATGTGTGTAGCGCCATGTTACGCATTGCTATGAGTTGCAAGTACAGAATGCCATGGGATGGCTTGCTTCGCATTGCTACTTAATTATATTGACTATACGGTTCAAGGCTATCTTATATGATGTCGTACTGAGAATGCGATAGGAAATTAGTTATATGGTGTGGGAAGATGTGCGACGTAACGCCTTACGATGCTACATGACGAGATGCCGTGCCACTACGCTATGCTATCACATACGGTGGAGGCGTTTGCTAAGGAATGGTCCCAGGATGCGCCAGACCCTGGAGGATTCTTTATCCAACGAGGGCGGTGGTGATATCCATGGCCGATCCACGATTGGTATTCCCCAGACCCTGGATTCCTTATCTACGGATTCCTTATTCAATGCCTACACCGTATATGTACATACATGGTCTCATGCGCCCCTCTCCGAAGGAGTAGAGCTCACAGACGATTAAGTGTGAAGCCGTTTTTCGTGTTCTTGCCGTGTCGTTCGGGGCAGCCTCACAGTTTTGAAACTCTAACGCACACCTTACGCAGACCGCGAACTCACGGTCCAATGCTCTTGCGCCACGCACACACATCGCCGCAAGGTATGGCAACCCCACCTGCGTTCGATTGCGATCCCGCTGTTCCACCTCCTTGTCAACAGCCCCCTGGTGATCCTGGTTATGATCATTCTCCTTTGTCCTCTGCTTCTCAATATCCTTCACCCTCCTCCTCCTGCTCGGATCCGACTTCCTATTCCTCTTATTGTCATATTATTGTGATGCTTATGTGCTGCAGTCCTTTTTGCGTGAGCCTGGGCACGCATGCTCGACTTGTACTTTCACAGCAGAACATGACCCTAAGCAGGGTGGCCACGTGGATATGCTCGCGCCGTCTCCAAACCTTCGATATATCATAGTCCAGTCGTGCAGGGACCCGTGAGAAGGGTCAAGATATATTTCCTTGCGAAGTGACAGATTATCCGATGTGAAGTTTCATCACAACATGCATGCATAAATAATGAATGACAATTTAGCGTTGATGAAAGATCCGTTGCCAACCTTTGATTTGCGCGAGTTGCACGTTTGTGCTGGTTCAACTCATCGGCTGGCGTTGGTGCTGGCTCCCATTGGCGCCCCGCTCACTCATAATAAGGTGAGCTAATATCTTGCTTGCGGTCGAGATTGGAGCCTACGTATCGTGCATTCTGGATAGGCAGGCTTCGGGTTTTCCGTCTCACCGCACGGAGTAATTAGCTGTCTCACCAGTGAGCCTGCGTATGTTTCTCAATGGTGTTTGTGGCAGTGGTTGGCAAGCTTGTCAACGCAGCCCGTGTCCGTTGCGGACAGCCGCGATCGGCTCCAGGCGGCGAGCTCTAGCGTGTCACTTTGGTGGACCACTTGCTGCAAAAGTAGAGGGCAGAGTTCGAAGGCTCTGGCGACGCGTGGCCGCCAGCGGAAGCTCGACACCCCCTGACCCCAAATGCCTGGACTTGTCCTCGACGCGGTTCCTCGTCCTCTTCCTCCTTCTCTTCCTCCTCGTCCTCCTCCTCGTCCTCCTCATCGTCCTCCTCCTCGTCCTCCTCCTCGTCCTCCTCTTCCTCCGCCGCCTCTTCTTCTCCTCCTCCTCCTCCTCCTCATCCTGGATGTCTGGACCCCTTCCCCAGGACCGGCGTTTCACCTCGAGCCTCTCTCCCGCCGCCCAGGGGCCCAGGGAGGGGCCCTCGGGTGCCGAAAAAAATAGGAAACGCAACCACAAAAGTCGCCGTCGCGATGTGTTCACAAGATATCTTTGGGAATTTCGAGCTCATCGCACGGTCTGTCACCGGCCAATTCAGAGAAAGGGGGAAAGGAGGAGGAGGAGGATGAGGAAGGAAGGAGGCGGAGCTAGGAGGAGGAGATGGAGGAGAAGGAGGAGGAGGAGGAGGAGGAGGAGCAGGAGGAGGAAGAGGAGGAGAGGATGAGGAGGAGGAGGAGGAGGAGGAGGAGGAGGAGGAGGAGGGAGGCAGGGATGGAGCCTTCGGGAACAAAGGGCCCCCAGCTTCAAGGCGTTGAATTGAATTGGAGGGAGGTAGGAGCGAGGAGCGAGGAATCGGAGCAGGCGGGGAGGAGGGATGTTTGTCTTGACTGGAGCCTTGCCGCTCCAGTCGCATTGCGTAGCTCTGAGAAGCCGACAGTAAACCTGCCGAGCGATACGATTAGCACCAACTATGTTCGGTGCCCCCCTTCGGAGATATCGCTAGCATGTTGAAGAGAATACGATTGTACGGGATATGTTCGCCGCGCGCCTGGGACCTCGCCAAACGAGGAACGTCGGTACGCCATGATAATACCAATGGGGCGCCGATCGGAAGATGCCTCCGAGAAACTCTGGAGACCTCTGGAGACCTGTGGGGGAGGAATGAGAGAAAGAATGAGGAGGAGTAGGAGGAGGACCCTGCGGGGGATGTCGCTTCCACCCCGGACCCCGTGTCAGGAGCGTTGCAGTTTTCTTTGATGAGGGAAGGTCATATCCATCTTTCTATATATATATATATGTGTGTTCTTAGCCTGGCGAAGTAGAGTGCGCTAAGGTGGGCTCTTGTTCCCATGGAGACAAGCCAGTAGCTGACAGAACTGCGCCGAACCCGGCGCCTCTGCGACCGACCAGGCAGGCGACGCCCAATAGGGCTAAGGGAGCACGCCGAGCAGAGGA